GAGGGCCACCTTCCCTGCTCTCCACAGACCCTCCAGGTCCATTCACAGACTCGCGCTGCCTCGCTTCCCTCCGGGGCGCGCACCCCACTCTACTCACGTATTTGCTGATTCTCCACACGCCTCCCCCATGCTCCCTCCCCTGTGCCGTCAGGCCTGGACGGCTGCGCGAGGCGCGCACACACCAGCACCGCCCGTGCCCAGTCCAGCACCTGCACAGGGCGGGTGCTCGGCACACGGCTGGGGAGCTGGCCGCTCGACTTGCCTCAAGGCACAGCCTCAAGGTCTCTGCTAGCTCTGAGGCTCCGTGACTATGTGTTCTCTGGTCTCCTGCCTTCCTCAGGGACCTCTGCCCCGTGTGGCCCCTCCTCCTACTGTTCCCAACCACACTGGGTCCCCTGAGGGAGGGGCCGTGGTGCTGCCAGGCCAGAGTCTGCTCAGGCAGGACATGGGCCTGGTGGAGGGCAGCGGGCTGGCGGCCTTACAGACAACCCCTAGGTCCCCAGGATCCGACCCCAGGAGAGGTTTCCCAAGACCCACCGGGAGTTGGAGAGCAGAGCGTACTAGGAGGAGGGGGCCCAGACCCCGGACATCCTGTCCTGATGGCCAGAGATGACCTCTGAGCCCCATAAAAGCTGGAGCCGAGAGGGCGGCAGTACCACCGTCCCCGAGTGCTGTGGTCTGGAGTCGAGAGCCAGCGAGATCGATATCGTTCGGGAGGCTTTCTGCTCCGAGTCCTTTCTGCTGCCAAGTCTCCCCCGAGGACTGAGGCGATGGTGCGGAGGAGGCAAGAGGCAGAAGGGAAGGGGAAGGGGAGGGAAAAGGGAAGGGAGAAGGGAAGGGAAGGGAAGGGAAGGGAAGGGAAGGGAAGGGAAGGGAAGGGAAGGGAAGAGGGAAGGGAAGGGAAGGGAAGGGAAGGGAAGAGGGAAGGGAAGGGAAGGGAAGGGAAAAGGGAAGGGAAGGGAAGGAAAGAAAAGAAGCGAGGGAGGGGAGGGGGAGGGAGGGAGGGGGAGGGGAGGGGAGGGGAGGGAGGGGGAGGGGAGGGGAGGGGGAGGGAGGGAGTGTGTGTCCTTGAGGACCTACAGCCCAGCAGTAGACCCAGGGCCGTCCTAGGTGCTGCGTGCTCTCCATCCTCACACCAGCCCTCCCTCAGGGCAGGTATTATCCCATTTTACAGATGAGGACTGGGGGCCAGAGAAGGGGAAAGCTTCCCCGAGGCCCCACCAAAGCCAGAACCAAACCCAGCCATGCTTGCTTCTGAGGCCAGCGCTCCCCAAGGCAGGCCGCGCTGGTGGACTGAGGCCCAGCCACATGGGCACTCGAGCGCAGGCGGGAAAATGTGGCTCTCCTAGGCTGCGCCTGCGGCCACACCCAGAGCGGAGGCTGGGAAGGGCCTCCTCCCCACACCTGCAGGGACCGGAGCCGGCTCCTCCCGAAGCGCCCCCTCCATCACCAGCAGCCCCCCTGGTCTCCACCCTCCCTACAGCCCTCACCTGGGACAGCGTGCGGCCCAGCGAGCGCTGGCCCTCGTCCCCGCGGGGCCACGGCACATCCGACAGCAAGCATCCCAGCCTCCCACGCCTCCCCTTCTCCAGGCGGGGCTCTCCCGGGTCCCTGAGGCTGCACCCCACTGGCCGTTGCCACCCACTGCAGTGTGGCCACGACCCATGTCCAGTGGTTTCCCCGGAGGTCCGGTCTGCAGAACTCCAGGGGGTGCTCCCTCCCCTCCTCTGCGGGGGGCACTGTGCTGTTTGGTGCGGCCCCGGGGCCTCACGGCGGGGGCAGCCCTGCCCCACTGCTGCCCTGGGACCAAGCCCGCTGCCCTGGGACCGAGTCAGCCAGGACGCTTGGCGGGAGGCAGGCAGGGGAGGGATGCCTTCCGGGAGACACAGCACAGCCCACTGTCCTGTGCACACGTGTGCACACACACACACGCACATACATGTGCATGCATGCATGCATATGCACACACAAGCACAAGTGCATTTGGTCTGGCACCTGCAGTCGGTGCTTTTAAAATCAGCCGTTTCATATTTTAAACCGCTTGGAAACTGCTGAGACTAATAAAGCCATCTTCACCGACTCATGAGGAAAAGGCAGTTCTTTTTACAAAGGAGCAGGGCCCTGACGCGTGCGGCCCCGCGGGTTGGGCATCGGCCCGCACACCGCAGCCACTGGCTGGATTCCCGGTCAGGGCACGCGCTTCGGCTGTGGGTCCAGTCCCCAGTCAGGGCCCATTCGAGAGGCAGCTGATTGGTGTTTCTCTCTCGCATCGATGTTTCTCTCCCTCTCTTTCTCCCTCCCTTCTTCTCTCTCTCAAAAATAAATAAATACCATCTAAAAACTACAAGAAGGGAGAATTTAACGCCCATGAGGAGAAAGTCCAGGGCCCCCGGAGTGGGGTTTTCCAGCCCTTCCCTGCCCACCACCATCTGTGCATAGGCTGCAGGTGATGTGTCCCCTGGAGACGGCCACAGCTCCTCCTTCCTCTGCCCCTGCGAAGGGTGGGGCTGAACGCCACCTGGTGGCAGGGGCAGGGACACGGGGACTCCGCTCCTGAGGGGAGAAGAGAGTATTCTCCCACTCCCAGGAGGGGGTGAGCGGGACAGACTGGCCGTGGGGACGCCCAAGCCAGTGCAGAGGGGACTTCTCCTCCCAGCCTGTGTCCAGTGCGTGCGGGCCGTGGCCATGCACACACGTGGCCGTGGAGGACGCAATTTGGAGAAAGTCCTTCCACAGTCATTCTGGGCCCAGGCTGCCCACAGAATCCCCCGGGGAAGTCCCAGGGCCCGGCTCCACCTCAGACTGATTCTCTCGGGACCTGGGGGTGGGACTCAGGCCCCGGTGCTTTCCAGCCACGTCTGAGACCTAGTGAGAGACTCCTCACCTCCAGCCCCCCAGCCCCATCCCTCTGCCCTTCCTGCCCTCACCTCAGCCGGTGTTCCTGCCTCTTCTGAGGCTGGTCTCTGCACATGCCCCGCGTACCTGCTGCAGCCAGAGGTCCTGCTCGCCAGGGCCAGGCCTCGCCCCCCTCACCCCGGCCAGCCCAGGCTGCAGAGACCCCAGCACCGTCCGCAGCACAGGCCCCAAGATGAGGCCCTGGACCGTGCCCCCACTCTGCCTCGCTGTTTAATGTCCCCAAAGCCAGGCTGGACCCACCTCGCTCCCAGACCACAGCCTGTCCCTCTCACCCATCTCTCTCGTCCCCTGCACCACGCCCAGCCAAGGTCTCCACGTCACTCCACAGCCGGGTGGCATCAGAGGGTGACCTCCCCATCACACCGCAGCAGCCCTGGCCCACTCCCCAGGGAGGGAGGCAGCCTGGCTGCCCAGCTCCCCAACAACCCTGTGTGACCAGCCGCCAGTCTTCCGCCCTGTCTGCCCAGCACCCTTCAGAGTGCTGGGAGGCAAACCCCGAGAGCAGAGGGAAAGGCGTGAGCTATAGTCCGCCTGCCCGGGTTCCTGGGCTGGCTCTGCCGCTTCCTCTCGAGCCTTTCTGCAATTCTGCGCAGTCTCTGCGCCTCCCTGGCTGTACCTCGGTTCCTTTCTCTGGAAAGTGAGGACAAGGACAGCCCTTATCTCACCGGGTCTGTGTGTGTGAGAAAACACCCAGACGTGCTCGGCGAAGTCCTGGCACGCAGCAGGTCCACCCAACGCCAGCCGTCGCCAGCAGGGACAAGCACCAGCTCTGCCCGGCAGGAGCGACAGGACCTCTCACAGCCTCGGTCTCCTTACTTGTCCCCCGGGACTAGTGCCACTGACCTCATGGGTTCATTGGGAAGATGACATGTGCCGATGCCCAGCACATAGTAGGTCTGCAATACCTGGTCCTCCTCCAGCGCACATAGGCAGGGCCCATGCCTCCGTGTCTTTGTGTCCCTTACAGCAGTTGTCAGAGTGCAGTCTGGGGACCCGGGGGCCCGGAGACCCTTGAAGGGGTCGTGCGAGGTCAGAACCATTTTCCCAACAACACTAAGCTCTCATTTGTTCGTCTCACCCGCATTTTCGAGTGTGTGCAGTTTCCCGGAGGCACTTGTGCGCGAGAGCAGGGCACAGTGAGTGCAGGCGCCCGCGCGAGAACCCAGCTGTCCTCTGTCCGCCGGGCCTGAGCGAGCCTTTTCAACAAAAAGGCCAGACAGTGTGACTCTGCTCACCCAGCCTTTCTTGTTTTAGAAAAGAGCATTTTTCATAAAATTTCGATTTATGTTAACATGTGGTGAGTGTGATATTGCTATAGGAGTGAACTGGTAAACACTCTTAAATGTTCCCGGTTTCCACTTGGGACATGGGAGATGTGGGAAGACAGTGCCCACGGGGACAGGGGCTCGCGACGATGTCTGAGCGTGATGGAGCCCGGAGCCGGTCCGGGGAGGCTGCCCACGGCCCACCGTTCACCGCCCACGGCCCACAGCCCACGGCCCTCGCCACGCCGGCCGAGCAGCGCTCTCAGCGCACGGCCACTCACGCCGACCTCCTGGCCGCCCCACTGGCAGCACTGCCAGCTCGATGGGGGACTAGGGTCGTGTAGCGAGAGCGTTTCAGATCGGCCAGGGTGCCCTGTGCTGCACCGGGCGGGCCCCAGTGGGTGCCACCCCCAACTTCCCAAACTGCAGAGGACTCGCCCAGGACCACCAGGCCGGAACTCGCCTGCAAACTAAGCCGACTCAGAGCCAGGTGGTGGGGACGAACTCCAGATGCTGCCACCTGAACCCTGGGGTCCAGCTGTGCCTGGACTTCTTGGTCCCGTGGGCCCACAAATTCCTCTTTTGTTTTCTTAAGCCAGTTCGAGCTGAGTTTCTGTGCTGGCGGGAAGAGTCCAGACGCACCCCTCGCGGTGACCAGAACAAGACCTGATGGTGGGAGGCTGCGGGGAGGACCCAGGGCGAGCCGTCAGCCCAGCAGGACGCCCCTAAAGCCACGTGGCCAGAGCCTGGGCGAGGCCAGGTTGGCCCCCCAGAGACCTGGCAGACCCCTTTCCAAAACAACGCAGCCAGACAACAGCGTGGTTTTTCTTCCACTTTATCATTTATAAAGCCATACAATGGGTCGCAAAGAAACATTGAAGCAGCTGTACAGGAGCGGGACAGCATCAGTGTACAATACATTCGTGTCCGGGGTAAGGAGCATACACCAGGGTTTATACAAGGTGGCGGAGGTTATAGGCACAAGGATAGAAAACAGAAGGTATATTTCCAACTATATAAATACAGTCAGGGGGTGGGAGGAGCTGGGTTATTGTTTTTCCGGCAGAGGGCTGGGAGGCAGGGGCGGAGTGGGGGTAGGGGTGGGGCAGGAGGAACTTCCCACGCTTGTTTCGAGTGGCAGGTCAGAGGGAGGAGGGGAGGAGTGGGGAAACACAGCATGCAGTCACAGGTGTGCTCCTCACACACACACACACACACACACACACAGACCACACACGGACACAGGAGAGTCTCGAACCGCTCGACACTGATCAGAAAACACACTGGGGACATCCCTCCACAATCACGCAGCGGCTAGAGGTCCTCCAACACTTCGATCGACCGTGCGAGGACAGCAGAGCCTCACCCCATCGGCAGCGCGGAGAGCCCCCCCCGTGGGCGCCCTGCAGGCCCCGCCTCCTGATTCCTTCCACGTGGGATGGCATTAAAGGTGACGTCCTCCTCTTGCCCACCTCCTGCAACCCAACCCCGCACTTCCCTAGAGATACAAGCAAAATGCGCACACACAGACACCCACACTTGCACGCACACGCACACACGTCCCGTGTTACCACCGGCCGGGGGCCTCCAGCCTGGGACCCCGGGGCCTGGCCCCGGGTGAGGACTGGCTCCAGGCCCCTGCCGCTGACCTCTCCAAGGACCCCGAGCGAGGGAGGCACGGGGGCAGGAGACTGCCTTTGGACAGGCCATCGGCCCGCTTGCTCCCCAGGTGGGAAGAAACACCGAAGGGCAGAGGCCCCGGGAGGTAGGGTGGCGGTGCACGTCCAGGGCACAGGTGCTGCTCCACCTGCAGACGCCTCCACACCCTGCCCGGCAGGAGCTGCCGGCCGGTCTCTGCTTGCGCCCTCGAGGGAGGGGCGGAAGGACGTCCTGGTCACCCCCCTCCTGGGAGCCCCTGGGCCGAAGGATCACACCTGTCCAGCCAGCTGCCTCCACTTATGGTCACACAGCCACCGAGCACCCTCTGCCCTGCCAGTGCCTGACGCGCCCAGGGAGTCCTCGGAACCCAGTGGAGGGGGAGGAATTCTGGAAGTCCACGCGCTTTAGGAGCCACTGCAGGAAAAGCTTCCATGAGAGCCCAGGTCAGAGGGCCTTTCCCAAACCTGCCCGGTCTGTCCCTCACACGCCTGGCTGGTAACACCACGGCCTCGGGGTAGGGGATTCCGGTCGCCCTTGGAGGTTGGTCAAACAGCTCACCTCCCCCTGCATTTCCCCTCTGGGGTCATCTCTCCATTGCTCCCATGCCCGGTGCTCCCCTCTTGCTCCACCTGGGAAGAGCCACACGGCCAACACTGGGCCAGGTCCGCCGTGGGGCCTGGCTGGACAGCGAGAAGCAGGCTGGGCCTGGAGCGGTCACCAGCTGACCAGGCGTCTCCCAGCGCCCCCCCTCCCCAGGCTATTTTCAAGACCAGACAGTACTCTCCTGGCCGACAGACAGACTCAACAATAAACGGCAAACATGTCGAGGAAGGGGGAAGAGAGAAAAGGATCGACATTTACAGGATACGAACAATAATTATTAAAAGTGCTTTCTCTTAAAGGACATCTTTGGCAAGAGTACACTGCAGTGCTGTGGGGGGGGTGTGCGTGTACATGTGCGTGGGTGCACGGCCTGACCGTGAGACGGAGGGGGGGAGTGGGGCTACAGCGTCTTCCCAGCCAGTGTCTGACCCGAGGGGCGGGGGCCGCTGTGGAGACGGGGGCGCCCTTCCCCACCATCCTTCTGCAAAGGCCAAACTCTGGGAAACCGACTCCCTCCAGAGGGACTCTGGGAAACTGACTCCCGCACAGGGAGTGTGTTGGTCAGCCTCCCAGCAGCCCCTGGGTCCTTGCTCAGGGGGTCACACTCGGCTCAGGCCTGAGTGGGGTGGGCTGGCCATGCCTGGGAGGTGGGCGGTGGTGGGCAGTGGGAAAGCTCGTGAGAAGGCGGACCCTGGGCCCGGGCACGCCCAACGGTCTAACACACCGGCCAGCCTCAGTGTGGAGAGGACACCCCCGGGGCTGTCCGGGGTAGGGAAGGGGTGGGGGGGGACACTGAGATATTTACAAAGGAAGGGGTGGAACACCTCCTAGCTGGGAAGAGAGCTGGGGCCCGTGGGGACTGAGCAGAGGGAAACCCCAGCCTCTGGCCCGAAGGCCTCGGAAGGAAGGGCACTTGGGAGGAACCTCAGCCGCCAAGCACAAGGTCTCAACTTCCGGGCAGCCAGGGGCCGCTGCCCGCCTCCTGCAGACACTCTCCTCTCCAACGCCCTGGAACAGTGTGTCCACACAGGCGCAGCTACTTGGAGGAGAAAGAATACAAAAGACACACACGTCACCGACACCCGCACACGCACCCCCGTGCCCCACTGGCTCACTCGCTCGCTCGCTCAAACCTCGCTCAAACCGCGGTGAGTGGGCTCATCTCGGGGCCTGATGGCCGAGGCCTGGGCCTGCCGGGAAATAAGGGGGCACAGGCGATGGAGCACGGGCCCCCCTCCCCGCCGAGCCCCAGGCAGAGCCCAGGGAAGGCCAAGGCAGGGCAAGGGGACCCCTGGTCGCCCCAAGGGCAAAGGCCTCGACATTTCAGGCTTCACTTACAAACAGGAAAGAGGGATGGGAACTGGTTTACGCCCAAGGAGGCAATAAAGCAATGTGGGAAAACAATAAATACTTCTTGTCAATTTACCTATTCTTTTTTTAACCTTTTCTTACATTTTATTAGCTTACAGGATCTGTCAGTACGTCTCATATATATATTATATATATTTATATATCAGTACAGTGCCTCTCTCTAGGGGACTCTCGGAGGCTTAAGGAGCCCCTCAAGCGTGGAGTCTCGGTGGATTTTCCTTCCATGTCAGCTTCGAGTCTTTGGGTGGAGGCTGGGGGTTTCGCCAGGGCCCAGAGGCGCTCTAGGCCCTTCGGCCTCACGCATGCCTTCTGCCCTCTGCTCACGGGCAGTTTGGCTCTGCCGGGGAGTCCAAGGCAGAAGGGGGAGGAGTAAGGCTCCAGTGATGTACACAGGCCACGTGGTGTACAGGCAGCAGCCCCCAGAGCTCTGCTGGGTCACCCTGGACAGCCCAGCAACAGTCAGAGCCCAGACACTCGCAGCGGCGAGGACAAGGACTGCAGGTGTCTCCCCTGGGCCTTGCTGGGCAGGGCTCCTGGAAGCAGGTCCCCCAGGATGAGCCCAACACAGGGACCCTGCAGGACAGAACAGGGCAGGGCAGGGCAGAGCAGGAAGGCTCAATCCCCAGCACCCAGAAAGACATCATGCAGGTAAAGCAAGTCTGAGTGAGATAAGGCTGGTGCGGGCGCAAAACCCAAGGATGGGCGGAGGGCTGGGAGCTGGCGGAGCGGCCTGACCACCTCCCTGCTGGGCCAAAGGATTCGGCAAAGACGCCTAGAGGTCAACAGCATCTGCAGCTGAGGGTCTCTCCCCCCACCAACCAAGGCCATGGAAACGCATGTCTCCACCTCCTCAAATCAACGTCCCGCCCCCTGGTGGAGGCAGAACGGGTGGCGCTGCAGGGTGGGCTGCCCCACTCCTGCTGGGTTCTCGGTCCAGGGAAAGGCACTCGGGACCGCTAGAGCACAGGTGCAGGGACCAAGGCAGAGCCTGTCACCCACACTCCTGGGTACCCCCGGGGAGAAGGCTGCCGTCCCCTCCCTGATGCCGTGCCGCGGCGGCTCGAACCTGCTTTGGACAGAATGCGTGTGTGCGCAAACACAAGGAACCTGGGCGAGTACACCTGTTTATAATTCTAGCAGAGAGGCAACTATAACTCCACGAGTGGGGATGCGGGTGCCGACATATACACAACCCCACATGCATCCCCCACGCAAACTATACATCGGAGGCAGAGCAGAGAGACCTTAGGTGCCCCAGGTCTGTGATACTTTCAAAAGCAAACATCCTGCCACTTGGTGCCCCACGCTGGCTCTTCTTAGTTTGGTAAGGTACCCTAGAGGTGGCCGGAAAAAGATGCTCTCGACTTGATTTCTCCTTGCAAAGCGGTTGGGCTAGAGGGACACTTCTCCACTTCTCCCCAAAGTGTGGACCCCCAAGGAGGTCGGTTCTGCCTCCCTGGAGGGGCTCCACCCCCTGGGAGGGGGAGGGGGCATCAGGTGGACCTGGTCAGTTTTGAAGGCTTCGGGGTTGCGCAGCGGCCATCCACCCACGGGAATCGAGTTCCCCTCCTCCATCCTTTTCTTTCTTTCTCTCCCTCTCCCCCCTCCCCTCCGCAATTCACTTCCCTCTCCCCACGTTGCACTTTCTTCTCTCCTTCTCCAAAATTGGCCCCAAGTCCTCCCTCTGGATTCAAAGGTGGTCAGGATTCATGGGTCCCCTCCCGCCATGCCCATCCCCACTGCCCTGGCCCCGGGCGTGGGGCGAGTTCATCTCTTCTGGCCGGCGCTCAGCATGACCTTGGAGACGAAGTTGACGATGGCAGAGGCAGGCTGGTTGGGGTCGAGCTCAGCAAAGAGGTGGCAGGCGTTGTCCGTGGTGCTGCCCTGCTTCCGGGCCACAAAGCCGAAGAGCCTGCAGGGGCAGGAGAGGGGTGACAGGTGTGAGGGGAGAGCCCCAGGCCACCCAGGTGAGCAAACTTATCTTCAGGTCAATCTCTGTCCCCCACGGCTCCACATCTCCTGGGCACGGGCACTGGGGGAGGGCGGGCGGGGGGACATAAGAGAGAACCCTCTCTCTCTTCCACTGACAAGAAAGTCAGGGGACACTAGAGATGACAGTGTCCCCTGTTTTGGGGTAGGCAGAAATTCCCCTCTGGGAGGAGGGGAGAAGCCCAGGGAAGGGGTCACTGCAGGCAACCGACAGGAGGACGAGACTGGACGGAAGGCAGAGATGAGACCCAAAATAAAATGGGGACATTCCTGGCTGAGCTTCTCTCAGTCCATCTCAGCCGCACCCCACCCCAAGTGTTCCTACACACGACATGTAAGCCCAGAGTAAAATGCCGTCTACCTGCCAAAGGGCTCGTCCTCCTCACACACCAGGAGGTGGTCAGGGAGACCAAAGGACAGGGGTCCCTACCCTCCCCGCACCACACACACACACACACTTCTCCTGGGCTCCAGGGAATGGGAGGGGGAGGGAGACCCCGCAGCTGTTCCCCCAGCCCCCACTCCCTGCACCAAGACTGGAGTGAGCTGGCATCCTCTCTGTGCAAAACAGAGTTAAAAATACAAGAGCAGAGAACAGAATGTGAGCTCAGGTCCCCTCCCTGCCCGCACGTTGCTAATTAGGGCGAGCCGGGGACATCAGGACAGCTGGAGATTCCGATGGAAACCCCTCGCCCTCGGGCTGGACCACAACAGCTAAAATTAGAAAAGTTTTGGGTCCAGCTTGCAGCCTGGACCCGTGTGCACACACACCAGGCTGCCTACAGCTGCTTCAGGGGCTGGGAACCACTGGGCCAGAGGTCTGGGGGAATGGTCCGCCCAAGAGCCCAAGACGTGGAAAAGCCTGGGTCCATGCCCCACCCCCAAGTCCCCTTTCCAGGCTTGCTGGGCTGCTCTGTGCGGTGGAGGGCGGGCGCCCAGGGCCCTGGGAGGGAGCGGCTCGGAGCTGCGGGCAGGATGGCACACCAGCCCCGGCCGCCAGGCTCTGCCGGGACGGCGAGTCCCCTGCCTCCCTCCCCTGGTGTCTAGTTCAGCTCCAAGGCCTCCAGGGCCAGTTCGGCAATAGCCAATTCCTTCTTCTGCTTAGGGAAGTGGATCCAAGCAAGAAACCTCAGCCCCCTAAGGCAGGGAGGAACACTGCTTAAACTCGGGGCCTCGGGCATCTCTGTGCCTCACCCTAGTCCCGCCCCCAGCCACTGAGCTGGGCTCTCCCAGGCCTGTGCCCTGCCCAGCGAGGCCAGGTCAGCGGGAAGCTCAGTGCAAGACCCGTTCATGAGTAAGGAGAATGATTTTCAGGCCTGGGACCAGCCCACTGCTGTCCCTGGCCCCTCTCCCCCAAACAAGGCTCAACAATCCATGAGCAGGAGCTTCTTCAAACACAAAGCTCTGGCCTCCCGGCTGGTGGCAGGGACATGGAGACCCATAAGGACCCCTGTGAGCCCAGGAGAAGGCTGAGCCAAGTGTGAGACAAGCTTTGAGATGGCTGGACACCTGGGTCCCCTCTCAGCCGGGCTGCTAACTCTTCACATGACCCGTGGCAAGTTGAGGTCTCCTCCATCCCACACACCCCTCTGGACACCCGCTGCTCGTCGCGCTGGCTGACTGCTGGTCGGTTCCATTCCCTCTTGACCGAGGTGGCCTCACTGGCCTGAACCTGCCCCTACTCCCCAGCCCCTAGCCCATCCCAAAGAGCACAGCCAGCCGGGGTGGGCGAGAGGCCACACTTACTTCGCGGGGGCTCCTCCCTCTGTCTTCATCCACCTGCGGAGAGAAAGACGGCACAGCGTGAACCACCCCACCTTCGCCCCAGAGCTCGGCCCTGGGCATGCCCGAACCCTCCGGAGGAAGGCGGAGCAGACTCCTACAGGTGGAAGCATTCAGGTAGAGAGAACTATGGCCCGCCTCCCAGGGAGCTTCCCCCCTCCCCTCGAGGTGGAGAGGAGACACGGATTCAAGGTCAAGGACAAGACAGAGGCTTCAAAAGCGGGCATTTGAGTTCCTGGGAGGGTCTCCAAATTTCCTGTGGGAAACACTCAAAAAGATGCCCAGGACAATTGCACTCCCTCAGACACAAGCAGATCTTCCAGTTGAACCAAAAATACACACACACACACACACACACACGGGCATGCACTCATGCGCACGCACATGCACACACACAGACTTCTGTGCTCCAGAGCTAGCTGGGAGGGAAGGTGCCTACAAGAGACTCACTTTCTCTCCTGTGGATCCAGGTCGCAGAAGGTGACAGTGTTGAGAGGGTAGTGTCGTCTGAAGAAGAGCCTGCGGCACAGACACCAGAGAAACAGAATGAGCGCCCAAGTGGCAGCTCAGGCCACCTTCCCGTCACCCGTGGCTGTCACAGGTCAGCACAGCCTGTCCCCTGTGACCAAGACAGCCTGAGCTGCTCCCACTGGGGACAGAAGCACTGCACGGGAACAGACAGACGTGCCATAGAAGCGCTTCTCACACGCTAGAGGTTAGGAAAAGAAGGGAGCAACTGGCACTGAGGAATGAGAAACGGGGAGACCGAGGAGGAGGAAGGAAAGGGGCGGGGGGACATGTGAGAGAGAACATGAGAGGAAGGGTTCCGCTGTAGAAGGCAGGTCCTTTCGCCAGTTGCATTTGCGGCTGTACACCCAACGGGGGCGTATTTGTAGGAAGGTGGGAAAATAGGCAGAGGGGCGGGCAGGTAAGTGGAGACAAATGGGGGAATGTAAACGGGGGGAGTACAGATGGGGGTCAATGGAGGCAGATGGCTGAGTCAGCTGGTGAGTGGGGGAGCAAGAGGATGGACGGACTGATGGAAGGGTGGGTGGCCGGGCAGATGGAGGACGGACGGGAGACGGATGGGTCCCAGGGATGAGTCGACTGGTAAGTGGGTAGGTCCGTGGAAGGACAGATGGGTCACAGAAGTGGGCAGAAGAGTCTTACTTCCTCTGGTTGTCGGTCAGCGTGATTCCCTGGGCAGAAACTTTGAAGTGCACGATGGTGGCAGCTGGCGTGGGGTCAGCAGCTAGGGTCTCGGAGATGGCTTTGGAGATGGCCTGTGGCCCCGTGAGTGACTCCATGTCCACGGAGTTGACAAAGAGCACGTTGCAGGCTGGAAGAAACCCACCCAAGGAGAAGTCGTGGAGGATGGGGCAGGCGGGGATGGTCCCCAGGCCCTCTCTTCAGGAAAAGGGTGGCAGAAAACTTCAGGCCAATCTCAGGCCAAAGCATCTGCACCCAGAAATGCGGCATGCCCACCCAGGGACAGCTGGGTCTGAGAGTGAGGTCCAGCCTGCACCTGCAGGAGGCAGCGGCAGGGCAGAAAGGAGGACAGGCCTGGCCAGGGATCTGGTCTGCAGTGGCCACTCACCTGCCCCTTGCTTCAGCAGGTCACTGGTTGAGTTGGCAGCGCCCGAGCTATTTTTCGATTCATCTGTAGGGTCTGAGACAAAAATTTAATTCAGCTAGCAATTAAGACTCTAGAACTGGAAGGAAGCCCGTGTCTGGCTGAGCCCAAAGCAAGCTTTGAAAATAATGTGTGCAATGGATACGGCTTCTCCTATCAGGCCCTGGCCGTCGGTACGCGTGTGTCCGGTTGGAATGTTCTGTAATTGCTCCCTGGCTGAGAGCTCTGGAGTCCGGCAGAGCTGGGTGCAGACCCTCAGCCCGGCACGCGCTGTCTGTCTACAGAGGGACGCCGTGGTGCAAGGCGAGTGCCCTCGGGTTCCTGAGATGCCCCATGTGCAGTGTTGGCCCAGGGCTTGGCACACAGCGTACCTTCCAGGGGCAGCTGGTGGCGCTCTTCTGCACTGGTGTCTGTGTGCATCAATACATGCCCTCATTCATTAAACCGATAATGTGGCACAATTATAATTTCAACATTAAAAAGAACTGAGCATGGTTTGCACCTGCATTTTCCAGACTTGGGTGTGCAGGCTTGTTAAAACGAAGACTGCTGGGCCCCACCCCAGAGAGCCTGATCAGGTGGAATCGGACTGATCAGGTGGAGCTGGAGAATATTTACGTTGTTACCGAGCTCCTGGAGGCGCTGATGCTGCTGGTCTCGGGATCATACTTAGAGATCTACTAGTTTATACAATGTAAATATCAATTTTATCATTGCTGAATTACTTTGGTAAATTCTGTAGAAATATAATTTAATTAGTGTCTAAATTGTACGGTTATTAATGCTATTTAAGCTGTATTTGAACTTTTAAGCTAATAACAGCAGTCAATTATCATTAATAATTCAATGAATTGAACTGGATACATAGAAACTATGGAATAATATTGGAGGTTTTCTGCGTGGGCAAAACACCAGAAGGAGAGAGAGAGAGAGAGAGAGAGAGAGAGGAGGAAGTTGTCCCAAGGGAACTTCTGAATGTCCTGTTATTGAACACAGAGGGTAAGGAGAAGGCGCCTCACTCAGCTCCCAGTTTCTAGACCTCAAGTTCACGGCCAAGCAAATCCCCTGGTGTGGGCCCTGTGTACTTGGGGGCTGGGGAACAGAAGCCTCTGCTGTAATGGAAGCTATTCCGTGAAGAGCTCTGGGGTCCACCTGTCATCCTCCAAGGCTGGGACACCTCGGAGAGAAGCTGAAGTCTCCTTCGTCCCCGTGTCTCATTCGGGTTCTCGTCCTCTGTGTCCTGTGGCTCTTGAGCTCCATTCACACTTCCCACAATCAAACGAGGGCTTGCTCTTCCCTATCAGCTCAATGTCTCCTCGGTCAGGGGCCATCCTGGCAGCCACCCACACTAGAAACTCGAGGGATATCTGACCACCCCTTTCCTTCCCACGCCAGGCAGGGCCCGGCCCCCTCTCCTCTAAGAGATCCCTCCCGTGCGCTCTCTCCTCTCCATTCAGACCACCTTCTCGTGGTGGACCCTCCCAGGATCGAACGCTGCCCTTCCCTCCCCCTCCCCCTCCCCCACCCTTCGGCCCTGCCCACCGACCCCCATCTCGTCCTCTGCACACGGTCCTCCCCACAACTGTCTCTGACTTCCAGAGCCTCTTCTGGGATAAGGCTTATTCTGAGAATCCAACCTGAATTTCTTTGAGGCTCCGGAGAATTTTCCAGAACAATCTGGCAAGTCAATTATGTATGTTCCCAGAGTTAAGCTTTTTAATAAACTTTTCCTTCTCTTTTTAATAGGAAAAGGAGAGTGGTTTCAAGTTTCCCCAGATTGGCAAAAGGACCCCTATCCTTCCCCCTCCCCCCGGCCCAAGTGCTGGAGCACTGGCAGGGCTGAGACACGACGGAGGCCAACCCGAGGGTGCGCTGGAGGGGGAGGAGTGTCAGGTTCCTACCTCGGTTTGGAATGACCAGCTTACAGGGCAGAGCCAATGGGATGATGGAGTGCTGGTAGACCAGGGCAGAGAGAGACCCTGCAGCGGGGGAGACAGCATGTCAGGGGCGGCGTTGCTGCAAGTGGGCTGGGGCGCTGAGGAAGCCCACCCATGCCAGCTTGCTAGCCCCGGTCTTCAGCGTCTTCCTTCTTCTCCCGCATCCCACCAACAAAACTGAAAACCCGCTCCCTCTTTGTTAGTTAGCAAGACCCAAGGGAGAAGATTCCAAAGGTTCAGCCTACTAGTCATAGGTTACCCAGCAGCTTTCCTTTCTAAAAAGTTACTCCCAGCATCTCTCCCAAGCCCCGCCAACTGCTGGCACCCCTCTCAGGACAGTGGGTTCAAATCTCAGCTGGGTCACTTATTAGCTATGTGTTTTGGAGTAAGCCTGACTTCTGTGAACCTCCACTTCCTCCTCTGTAAAATGGGACAACAGCACCTGCCAGGCAGGACTGTCATGAGACCAGAAGTAATAGAAGGGACCTAGACAGTGACATTCACAATGGGAGGTGGTCGATAAGGTCGTTACAGCTGTTAATCAGATTACAATGGTAACAAGCCTCAGTGGGGTATGGGGTAGAACACAGAGAGGATTCTGGCAGGGTGAAGAGGCCACAGCCACCATTCACTCCTCTGCTGTGTCTACAGCAAGGGGGCCTGGCAGAGCCTGGGGCAGGGGAACCTGGGACAGGCCTGAGACCCTGCAGTCCGACCGTGGAGAGAGAGAATCAGGGGGCATCTCACCGAAGTTTGGCTCATTGGGGCACCCCTTGAGCTTGACCCCCCTGGGGCCGGTCTCTATCAGGAAATGTCTCACCAGCTCATGGGTCATGTCCCCTGGGGTGAAAAGAAAGAAAGAAAGATTGGTCACTTCTCACGGTGTCCGCCCACCACCTCCGACACCGCTTCATAACCTCGCCCGCGGGCAGGGCTCTGACGGGAGGAAGCGCCGCACAGACAGTGCGGCCAGAACCCGGGGATGGGGAGACCGCGACTCTTCCCACCCCTCCAGGAAATGCAACCACGACAACCACAGAGTCCCAACAACCCGGCCTCCCCATTCTCCCGCCCCCGCCATCACCAAGCCCAGGACTCCCTCTGCTGATGAGTCTGATCAGCAGGAATGAGATCCCGTGGGAATCAGAGACCCGCCAAGCGCCCAGGCCCTTCTGGCACCTCGGGGTGCAGAGAGACCGTCCCCATCACCTAGTCCTGAGGCCCAGCTCAGAGAGACAGTGTTACCCTTTTTGTTCTGCTGCACGATGGTCGGAGGGGGAGAAGACACCTTCATGGCCAGCCCGTAGGCCCCTCGGAAGGAGTGGCTGTCACGGATGATGAAGGCCCCCGGCTCCTGGTCCTTCAGGAGTGCGATGGCTGGAAGGGGAGGGGGAGGAGAGAAGAGGAAATAAGGAGGTGATGGCGCTGGCTCTCCCGAAGTCTCACCCGGCCTCTTGAACCTCATTCTTTCTTAGGTGGCAGGAGATGCTTTAAAGCGAGAACTCCAGCACTCCGGGGTCTTTCTACACTAGGGTCGGCCACCTTTCGCTGTGAGTAGCCAGATGCAAGCACATCAGGCTTTGCAGGTCAAGTAGTCTCTACTGCAACGACTCAGCTCAGCCGACTCAACACTCAACGACTCAACAAGCAGCCACAGACAGCACGTCCACGAGTCGCTGTGGTTGTGCGCGATGGCACTATAGTTACAACATGGACGGCAGTCTGAGGTGACCGGGGGCGGTGGTCACCGGCACCCTGTCCTGTCTCCACACAGGCTTTCCCTGGGGGCCTCAGGTGGTCTCATCCCCACCCCCATAATCCCAAGTCTGTTTTCTCCATAAAGTGTACAACAACCTCCCACATCACGCTGCTGGGGAGGTGAAGTTTCCTATGATCTCGGCCAGGCTTTTACTTTGCCCAGGAAACCAAGACTCCGCTGGTTTTAAGGATCCTTCAAAGGAATGTCTACACTCTCTGCTCTGCCCCGCCCCTGCCCCCCACCACGGGGACTGCTCTCCTGCCCGACCTTGATCCCAGCCCCTCTCCGTGACCTTGATCCCAGCCCCTCTCCATGACCTTGATCCCAGCCCCTCTCCGTGACCACCACCCGCTGCTTCAGAACGAAGGAGTCTACTTAAATTTCTTGCCCAGGGAAGGCCCGGTGGGCAGTGGCCAGTTGTGACCTCGGACACACCCCAGGGCCCCCCAGCACTCACCCTGCTCTCTGGAGATCTCGGGCTTGTACCAATACTTGGAAGTGTCCTGGACAAATTTCACTTTAGCCCGGGTCTCAGGGCTGTTGTCTAAAGTAGGAGAAAAAAAAAAGCGTTATGGGTTAAATTATGTTCCTCCACCCCAGAGAAATGCGGGGGTTCTCACCCCCAGTACCTGTGAACGTGACCTTATTTGGAAATGGAGTCTTTGCAGATGTGATCTAATTAAGATGAGGTCATGCAGGATTAGAATGGGCCCCAATCCAGTACGACCAGTGTCCTTATAAGAGAAGGAAAAGAGACAGGGAGAACAAGGAGGGCGCGTCACGTGAACTTGGAGGCGAAGATCGGAGAGACGCGTCTACAGCCAAGAGACACCGAGCGCTGCCAACGAGAGGCTGGGAAAAGGGCTTGGAAGAGACGCCCCCTCGGAGCCTCCGGAAGGAACCCACTCTGCCAGCACCTTGATCTGGGACTTCCGGCCTCCACTACCGTGAAAGGAGAAATTCTGCTGTCTTCAGCCGCCAGGTTTGTGGCACTTTGTTATGCTGTCCTAGGAAACTACCCCAGAAAGTTAGTGTCCTCCAACCTCCTCGGAGCATGGCTAAAAGGGACCTCGAGCAGCTCTGTCCTCCTGTCTGTCGGCCGCCAGCCACGGCATGGCACAGGGCTGCTCCCCGTCCAAGGGCCGGCGCTGCGTCCTCACTGAGAGCCGACAAAAGCCCTGGCCCAGCCCAGCTCCCTCCTGCTCCCTCCTGCTCTGGAAGGTTCAGACCAAACCCGTCCTGCAGCTGCTCCCGCAGGCAAAGACACCCCGCCTCTAGCCCCTTCCTCCCAACCTGATCAGAACGACCTTGAGGACCAGGACAGAAAGACGCAGCTTGTCCCACGTCCCCGCAACCACCTCCTCACTCCCCACCTGGAAATCCTGCCTTCCGGATCACACAGGGCAAAAAGGTCACTCCTGCTCTGGGACCGGGAGGGGAGGCTTGGCCTAGAATCCGGAAGCCGACCCCTGGGTGTCACCTACCCTACTTCTCCGGCACACGCTCTGCCCCACCAGACCCTCTGCAGACCTGGGATGATTCCACTGAACATGAGGTTCTAGAAGGACCTCTGAGAGTATCTGGTCCAACCCCTTAACTTTACACATGAGGACAGTGAGGTTCAGAGAAGGGGGTCACCCCATAGGGTGAGCCTTTCTATGGCTAATTGAATGGCCTCTGGAAGACATGCCCGGGCGAGAAGACGCAGCACCCAGTATGGCTGCACCACACCTTCCTGGCTAGGCATCAGGATGGGTGCCCCTCGCTCCCTAACCTCTTCCTTCACCCTTTGGCGCAACAGAAAACAAAGAGGAGAAGAGGAATGTTCCAGTTGCGCTTGTTTCCTCTCCTTTCCTGCGAGAGGCGGGAGCGGAGGGAGCCTGCACTGACAATGCTGTAAAGCTCAGAGCACCCAGACCGGACAGGGGTGGTCGGGTTGTGTGTCCAGGACTCAGTCCGTGTCAACATGGCACTTAAACTCTGCTGGGCTTCTGGGGTCCATCCCCGGAGGACAACAAGGGGCCAGGCCAGCTCCTTTCCTGGGCAGCCGTGCACCGAGGAGGGCGCCTGGGCTGGGCTGGGCGGCTGGGCCGTGCGACTGCGCAGGCTGCCGCCCTCTGCTCTGAAGGCCCGGCCCCACGGATGCCGGGCCCATCTAATGAGCTGTCAGAGGCGGCTGCAGCCTCATGTGCCTTCCTGTGTTGACTCCCGTGGCTATTTTAAGCAGGGGAGATGGTGGGAAACAGGAAATGTCCCAACTACTAGAAACTGTGCATCCTCTGAAGAGAGGGGCTGGGAACCAGATGTCTCTGGTGGGCAGCAGGAAGCAGGGACGCGCAGGGTCGCCGTCAGTGTCCCGGCTCGGCCGGACCTGCTGGCGACACACTGAGAATCTGGGCAGCGGGGACCCATTCCAGGCTGCCCGGGACTTGCTCAATCTTCCTAGAATGCCTCACAGCACCCCCACCCCCAGGGCCCCTCCGCACACAGGCAGGTTCCAGGTCTGGATGAGAAGCTGCCGATCAGCAGAGGCCTTGACCTTCGTGTTTGGATAAGGAGCCCTCAGAGTGGACGCAAAGAGGCCAAGTTCTGCTGATGAGTGAAGAATTCAGTGTGTAAACCTGCAAGGGCCTCTGTGAAGCCGAGCGGGTAGAAACTAGACTCCGGTGAAATGCCCAACCCCTGGCCTTGGCCCCTATCACATCTGGCGGCCAGACCCGTGCGCTGTGTGCGCACAGTGGGGATCAAAAGGTGAGAACAAAGGGCTGGCGAAGGAATGGAGGCCCCAGGTTTGGAAGGCAGATCGTCACAGTTACGCTACAGCACCCTACCCCTCAAGCTAGGGAGATGCGATAAAACAACTCCCATCATGCTTTAAGAGCACTAGTTTGGGGGTAGCAGGGGCCTGGATCGTCAGCCTGGCTCTGCCATTTATGAACTGTCTGGCCCTGGACAAATGGCTGAGCCCTCTGAGCCTGCCTCCTCGTGGACGGCGGGGAGATCGAATGAGACACGATGCACCTCCAAGCCTGGCACACAGCACGTGCTCACCAAGTGGTGGTGGCTGCGATCCCCGGAACACTCACGCCGTCATTATTGTTACACTCCCCGTCAGCAGCAGCAGCAGCACCCACAGCCGCCACCACCACCGTCGCACGCTTACGCTGAGGACGCCTCCAGCTCCCCGTATGCACACGAGGCGTCTGAGGCCCACGTGCCAGCCAGCCAGCCACCCACAGTCGTCTGCCCAGAGGATGCCCAGGACAGAGAGCAGGACGGGGGCCCTGGCTGGCGGGCTGCACCTGACAGCGGGAGACACGGCGTGAAGAGGAGGCCCACCTGGCATGGAGTACTTGGAGAAGTCGGGCAGAGTGTGTGAGAAGGAGACGGTGCTGCCGCCACTGGGGCTGGACATGCCACTGGTGACGGGCGAGGAGGATGCCTTCCCGTTGACGGTGGCATAGTTGGGGAGGCTGCCCGCTCGGTCTCCCATGGACATCCTCCACTTCTCGGGCAAGGCCGGTGTCGGGCTCCCTTGCCGGAAGGCTGCTGAATCCGGCGAGGGGGAGGTGGTGGGGCTGCTCAGGCCAGGGTAGTAGGCAGGGGACACCGGGAAGGAGGGTGTGGAAGGAGCCTGGTAGCCCGAGGCGCTGCTCTGCCGGGACAGCGTCGGTCTCCGGTCCTCGGGGGTGGAGTAGCCGCCGTAGGCCACGTGCCGGTCCAAGCTGGGGCTGCCAGGAACCACAGATCCGGGCCCTCCGAGGTGACGGCCCAGGCTGGGGCTTCCAGGGCTGGCTATTGTGTTGCTGTGGAGATTGGAGGCCAAGGTGCCCTGGTGGGCTCCAGGGTGCCGGCCCAGGCTGGGGCTCCCTGGAGTGGTGGCCACGCTGCCATGGAGGCCTGAAACCTGATGGGCCCCAGGGTGCCGGCCCAGGCTGGGGCTTCCTGGAGTGGTCGCCGCACTGCTCTGGGGACTAGAGGCGGCGTTACCATGGAAACCAGTTCCTGGCGGGCCCATCACCTGGCGGTGGCTCATACCAGGGCTGCTGGGGGCAGCCATGCCTGGGTTGACAGCCCGGCGGCCAAAGCCGGGACTGGGAGGAGTGTTGGTGCCCACTGTCCTGTGGCGCGCCTGCGGGCTCCCGGGTACCGTGTGCACAGCGGCTACATTGAACTGAGACCGGGCCTGGCTGTCTGGGGAGCTGAACGGCTGGAGCGAGGGGTCGGGGCTGCTGTAGCTGCCGCCCACCGTTGGAAGAGGAGAAGAACTCTGGTAGCTTCTCTGAGCCGAAGGGCTGGGCTGGCCCAGGCTGCCGGAGCGGAAGCCGGAATCCAGCAGAGGCTGGGTGGGTGTCCGGGGGCCCTGGTCACTGCTCTCCCCTGATGGGAAACTGCCCACCGAAGTGCTAGAGAGAGAAAGGGCAGACCGTGTCAGCAAATGGTTTTAATGAAGAACAGGCTTTCGGTGAACACTCAGACCTCCCTCCCACCACGAGCAACAACAGTACGCTCCGCTCGCATGCACGGGAATATCAAGGTTTTTACGTCACCCCGTGGAACCGTCCGAAGAAGAAGCTGAGGCCCAGATGGGTTAACAATGGGATGGCGATCCCATGGCTCATAAACGACCAACCAGGGTTTCGGGTCTGGCTGTGCCTGCTCCCAAAGCACATGCTTCCCCTGCTGTACTACTCTGGCTCCACCCGTCCAAGTGAGGAGCTCCCTTTCACTGAAACTGAAGACGCCTGAATCCGATGAACAAAATAAGTGAACAAACCAAGTAGATGCAGAGGACAAACTGACCGCTGCCAGAGGGGAGCGGGCTGGGGGGCCTAGGTGAAAAAGGCGGAGGGATGAAGGAATAAAAACTCACAGACACAGACAACAGTGTGCTGATCCCAGAGAGGAAGCGGGGCTGGGGGAGGTAGAGGAGGGTGCAGGGCGATAAATGGAGATGGAAGGAGACCTGACTTGGGGTGGTGGACACACAACACAGTACACAGATGATGTGTTACAGAACTGAACACCCGAAACCTATATAAGTAACCAATGTCACCCCAATAAATTCAATAAAATAGAAAGAAAGACACTGAAGGTGGCTGTCCTCTCATCAACTCTAGGATCCCTGAACCCTGGAGCGGGGCTCGAACCACCTGGGTCCTGTTTGTCCTGGAAGCATCCCCACCTTGATTCAGTTTCCCCAGGTGTGCCACCCTTATCTTTAAATGTGGAGAGTGTTAGAACTGGGCTTTCATTCCCGGGTTGCTCTAGAAAGCAAAGACAAGGAAGTCTCATAGGGGATCTCAGCTCATTATAAAGTCTGCTTTCCAGCCATCGGACCTGGCTACTAATGGAGCAAGCTGCCTTGCATAGTAATGAGACTCCCATCACTAGGAGCATTTAAGCAGAGGCTGGCTGATCTCTTGACCTGAATGCTGTGAAGGGACTATCCTCCAATGGAAGGTTAGATTAGATGAGCTCGGAAGTCAAACCCAATTCTAAGACTGGGGAAACTCAGTTCAGAGGAGACTGTACGTGGGGGGATAACCAAAATCAGCGGTTCTGCTCTGAAGTTAAGTACAAGTCCACAGAGAAGTGTAACGCAATGGCCTGTGAGTTGGGAAACCTGGATTCTGCTGTTAGTGTTCCCATGTGCAACAAACGAGGGGGCTGGCTTAGATGACCCTGATTCTTTCCAGACACGGACTTCTATCCCTCGATGACATGGCAGGAGGGATGAAGGTTGGCAGGGACCTCGCGTGAGCAGCAGCTGCAGGGTGGTGGCAGGGAGGCTCTGCACCAGGGGCCCTGAGGGGCGGGGCGGCTCCTTACATAAGACGATGGGCCAAGGCCTGGAGCTGGAGACTGGAAGGGTTGTCAAGCCGGGGTCGGATAAGTGCAGGTCCCTTGGGTGATGTGTGTGTGGTGGGGGGGTGCAGGGGAGATCATGCGAGAGCCAAAGGCAGGCGGAAGTCAGGGGCCAGGCCAGGACAAAGCCGGCCTCACGTCGCAGGAGGGGCCAGAGCGGAACAGCCACTTCCTGCGAGAAACAACCTGTATTCTGAGGCATGGGAGGACCTGTCAGGCTGAGCGGGGTGGGGTGGGTGGGGGACACCGAAACGGAGTTCTTCTGTGAGATGAATCCCGGAGGAGAAACTCGAGCTCCCTGAACCCTGGAAAGAGCTAAGACGACAGCTGGAGGGATGTGGGTGAGGAGCGGTGAACACTTCCCCACGTCCAGGCTCTCCGAACACCAGCAGCAACACCAGCAGCGGCTGCTGGCAGGTGGGGAAGCTCCCTGTCCTTAGACAGCCACACCCTCTGCCCCAAGGCAGACCTCCCAAGATACAGAGCTGTCTGCTCCACCAGGAGACTGGGAGTGGGGCAAGGTGGACTGGGGTCCATGCTGGGCTTGAGGAGCCAGAATCCATAGAATTGAGGCAAAACTGCCTCTGCTCCCCTAGCCACCTGCCCTGACCTGGGGCGGGGGGGGGGGCACACTGCATCAGGCCAGTGCAGGATTTCCAGCCCCCCAGGGGCCCTGGGGAAATGTGAGGAGGCAGCTGGAGCAGTTTCAGAGCCCAGGGATTCCAGGATGCGGTGGGGAATGAACGTGGGGCGGGGTAGTCAACAGCCGAGTCTCCCCGTCCTGGGGGAGAGTTCGGGGGTGGGGGCAGTTCCTCTCCCACGCCTGCCTGGCTGACCTCAAGCTCCCTCCCCTATGTCGTCTTCCCTCTCCCTGTCATAAAGCCCACCCTGCACCCCAAATTTGGGGGCCTCCCCTTCAGAGCCCTCCCCTGCCCAGTTCCAGGTTTTCCCCCATCTGACCCAGTCAGAATGACAGCCACACATCCACAGAGACATCTCTCCTTGCTCCCCACAGCAACCCTCCTCACCTGCAGCTTCGAGCCCTCAGCCATCCACACCCCTCGGCCCTCTGTCCTGGCTCTGCTGTCCTTCCAGAAAGCCCTCTTCCTCCTGCCTCACCGTTCAACACCATGTTCAACCTTCTGGCCTCACCACAAACACCCCCGGCCCCCAGAAGGCCTCCCTGCATCTCCAGCCAGAAATCACGGCCCCCTGCTCTGAGCTCCGAGAACCTGACTGATGCATGTGCTTTGGGCACCTCTGACCCATCCTGTGCCGCGCCCCGTAACCCGGGCCTGGAGGAGAGGAGGCAGAGGGCGGGCTCCCACCCAGATGCCTTCGCTCTGAAACCTATTTCTGCTACCGTTTAGCTGCAGGACTGTGAGCCAGCTACTTCGCCACTCCGTGCCTCAGTTTCCACTTCTGGAAAGTGGGGATGTTGAAAGTACTTACCTCCTAGGATTGCTGTGACGATTAAATAAAATAGTCACAGGAAGCATTTGGCAAAGTACCTGGCGCAGAGGAAGCACTCACTACTAGCAATTACTGATGTTAGATTTTAACTTTGGGAGAGGGAGGCTTCTGGTCCCCCTCCGTACCCCCACGGACCCCCACTCCTTGCAGCACAGCTCTAGATGGTGGAACTGAATTCAGCCCAGGGATCAGAGCTCCCTTGGACTGTGGCACTCAAGGGATGCCTGCTCCCTCCAAGTGTCTGATGACCCGGTTTTCGAGGGACAGCAATCTGGACATTATTTCTGCCTGTCCACACCCTGAGCAGATCCAAGGGGCCTCACCCATGCTGCCCCAGGCCTGGCTCCTCTCCCCCACTTACCTGTCAGCGCTGAGGATGGGGCTGCTGGTGGAGAGGGGGCTAGGGGAGACGAAGGAGCCGCCCAGAGCGCCGTTCCTCACGGGGGTATCGTGGCCATAAGCCTGGGCAGCTGGGGCGCTAAAGCTCTTGGACTCAGGGTCCTGAGTTCGAGGCCCAGCCACCGCCGTCCGTACCACCGACTCGACGTAGCTCCTCGGCTCTAGGAGGGGCCAGGAGACAGAGACTTAGTTAGCACAGAGCTATAGGAATGAAATGTGGGTCCCCTCCAACCTCCCAGGGAGCCCGCCTCTCCAGAGTTCAGCTCGGGGGACGGGGGGAACAGCCCCAAAAGGACAGCCAAGCATACAAAGGGCACTTCTGGAGCTCCTGCCTGCCCATGTCCCCCCCTCTCCTCCCAGCATCTTGGAGAAGCTGTGGGAACCACACAGAACCTTTCCCCATGGCCTCGCTCAGAGCAGCCTCCCAGCAACAGACCCCAGTTCTGCCTGTGAACACAGCCATGGCAGAATCTTCCCCCTCAGAGCAAGGATGCCCCTCCATAGCTGGCATCCCCTACAGCTGCTTTTCTTTTTACATCCCTGCCTCCCCAGCCCCCCAGGCCCTTCTAGGACCCCCGGGCAGCCCTGGAGTGTGGACCTAGAGTCCCAGCCAGCCTTGCCCTCGTCTCAGGGCAGCACCAGGGTTCCCACAAGCATCACCTCACACCCAGGACCCAGAAGCAGGCGAGCCAGCCAGCAGGCAGGCCAGTGCCAGTAAGTCACGCCCAGCCCCTTTAGGCCAAGACACACCCACCTCCCTGCCTGACACACTTAGCATTCCTCTGGAGACTGACACCATTATCCCCACTTGGTGTTCAAAACATCCTAAGGGGAACGGGGGAGGGGGGGGAGGGACAGGTGCCAGAAAGGCCACCACAAAGATGAGGACACTGAGGCCTGGGGAGTGAAGTGACCGGAGGCCCGGCCAGTGTTTGTCCAACCCCCGCTGTGAGGCCAGCCCCCAAACTACCTTGATAGGAAGTGGGGGTGGGGGAGAGCAGCAGGGTGCCCTGGGCTCCTCAAGGGACATGACACCTCTGCCACCTCCAACCCGGCGCCGATCCCGTCTGCCCCGGGAGGGACGTGGCCGAGCACAGACCCACACTCTGCCTGCAATGGGGGCGTCTGCCGCGGCCAGCCTGGGACATGGGTGGACCTGTGCGGTGCCGGGCAGGCCAGGCTCCGGGAGCCACTGCTGGCCGGGACCGTGCTGGTCGCTGAGTCCGCAAACAGCCCCCACCCCCTCGGTCCTAGGAAGACCCTGCTTTGGAAGGAGCCCAGCCACCATGGCGTCAGGGGCACAGCCTCTCGGCACAGCTCCTCAAGTGGCCTCAAGGCCCGACACCCCGCACCCAGGCCAAGGCCCGAGGATGGCCCTTCCCCCTTCCAAGCAGGCCCCTCACAGCGGTCTGGGAGTCTGCGCACAGCTCCAGCCAGAGGCCACCAGCCTGTCCTAGTTTCTACCCAGCGTTCCCTCCAAACAACAGCAGTGCCAGCGGGTGGGGGCGGGGCAGGACGCCTGCAAAGGGACAGCTCAGAGCAACCTATTCCAGGTACAGGGTGAAGGGAGATACAGAACCAGCCACCTCGGCACCCAAAGCTGGAGTCGACCTGGGCAGAGGCCAGCGAGGTGTCCTCAACAGCCCCCTCACCCAGCCCCGGCCACCCACCCACCTCACAGAGGCCCTAGCCCACTTCATTCCATAAGCACTGTTTCTTTGCCATCTGTGCCCAAGGTCCTACTGGAACCAGGAGATGCTACAGGGATCCTCTGACCCAGGGCAGGCACACTTTCTTGCAAAGGACCCGAGAGTAAGTATCTTAGCTTTGGTGGGCCGGTCAGTCTCTGGGACAACCACTCGCTCTGCTCTAGGAGTGCGAGGGCAGCCAGAGGCGGCAGCCCATAAAGGAGTAAGCGTGTCTGCGTGTCTGTCTTTACAAAAATACGTGGGGGACACGATATGACCAAGTTTGAGGACCACAGATCTCACCCATCTCCTCAGCCCAGAGAGGTGAAGCAATTTGTCCCAGAACACACAGCGGACATGAATACTAGTGCCACAGTCTCCTGATTCTCAGTGCTCAGGGTGGCCAGAAGGGGGCCACAGCCTCATAGGGGCACCCAGAGCTGGCTGCTGCCCAGAACAGCAGCCCATCACCCGGAGAAGAGCCCACTCCACAGGGCTATTAATAATGATAAAAATAGCACACAGTTATATGAAGAAAGTAGGATTTGGAGAACGTAAGTGTCTTGCCTGGGCCACACAGTACCAAGTGGCAGCACTGGCAGCACTGGCCTAGGGAACCAGGCAGTCTGGCCCAGAGCCTGCTCTCTGGCCCACTGCACACATGGCCGCCTGAAACTGGGAGCGGACAGTTCCAGTGTCTTTAGCCTTGGGGGGTTGGCTGGGGTCCTGGGGTTGCCCAGCTTGGCAGAAGGGGACCCCACACCCACAGAAACGGTTATCGAGACCCAGGGCACTCCCTCTCAGCCCACCCCCCACTGCCTGGAGTCGCTCTCTCTGAAAACCTCCTGAACGCGTCCAGGCTCTCAGCTTCACCAGGGTCCCCATCACACCCAGCACCCCTTCTCTCCCCCACAGAGACGGCGGGGGACCGCTCCGCCCCCTTGTGCAGTGCCCGGCATCTAGCAGGCCCTAGACACGTGTCTGTCCCACAAACCAAAGATGTGAGGTCTTCCCCCTTCAGCCCCGCCCACCTGGAGGTGCGTCAGAGCTGGGACCTAAGAGGCACACACTCCTTTTCCTCATTCCCTGGGATTCTTGCTGCCCGCAGAAGGTCTGGCTAAAACCCTCAGGGACGGCCTCTGAAGTCTGAGCTCTTCCCCCACCGGCCACGTCCTCCTGGTCCAGGGAGAGACCAGCGAAGCCCCTTCACTCAGTCTCTGCTCCTCGTGGGCCCAGAGCGGGAGGGACTCTGGGAAGCGATCTGATTTTCTGAGTCCATCTCCAGAACTACTCAAAACCAAGCTTTTGGGCCCAAAACTCAGTTTTCCCGTTTTCAGACTCGGATTTCTATATTGAAAATGTCTCCTTTTCCTGTCTATTGCTCTCCCTCCCCCTGCCTCCGTACACTGGACAACTTGTGGGCTCCCCTTCTTTCACTTGCTGGATGGGCACCTGGGACAGGCTACGGAACCCTTCTGGGACTCAGTCTTCTCGTCTGTAAAATGGGAATGAGAACACCCACCTGCCCAGCCAGGATCAAGTGATAAGAGATGGGAAGTTCCTTCTAATTCTTTCTCGCTGATTCCAATTAGCTGTTTACCAGCAGCCCTGCCGCAGCTGCCTGCCTTTGCCCCTGCTGGCCCTCGGCTGCCTCCCTCCACCCTCTCCTGCTGTTTCCCTCCTCTCCTCCAATCCTGGAGCAGCTGCACCCAGAGGCCACAGGGTTGGGCGCTGGGGGGTGGGGTGGGCGGGGGAGAGGTGGGGCCAGGGAAGGTGCTCCGAGTAGAACATTCCTGGAGCCCAAACCCATTCCAAGTGGCTGCTGGTGGCTGAGAGCCGCTGGAGGCCCGAGAGTGTCTCGGCCCCGCCAGGCGGGGGGCACTGGTGCCTCTTCACCCACACCCTCGAGTGCATTTTCTGCCTCCCAGAAGAGGCTCTTTGCCTGCAGAGAAGGGGCTCGCCCATTCCAACTTAAGGAAGACGTGTGGATGGAGGAGAGGGAGAAAGCAGAGAGAGCCCCGAGTCCCAATCCAGGAGCTCAGAAGTCAGGATGCCAAACCTTTTAAATTGGGCCACGTGCCCCTCCTCTGGGCTGCCACCGCCCCCGTCCCTACCCTGCTCAGCATCCTCCCTCCCGCTGGAAGGCCTCTGGGCATCTCTGTCCTCACCAGGCTGCCTCACTCCTCCTTATGCCTCCAGTGCCCAGGACAGAGCCTGGCACGCGGCAGGCGCTCAGTAAACCTACACAGCACAGCACCGCCTTGAAACCCCAGACGCCACAGCGCACCCCTCACCAAGGATCTCAGAGCAGGGAGGATCTGAGAAGGGGCCATTTCTAGTCCAGCATGTCTTCCTTTCCGCCACATCGGCCCCATCTAGTCCTCCGGGCAAACAGAACCCAGCCTGGACAGCCCCGTTCCCATGCGTCCCTGCAGCACTGGGCAGGTATTCTTGACATCGGCCTTGTCTTGACTGCTGCAGGCTTCTCCCTCCCCTTCCTTCGTGGACCAGAGTCCCCGGGCCCCCTGCCCAGTGAAGCCACTGTTTGCGTTCAGAGGTGTGCCCCGTGCAGTCACATGGCAAGGGGCGGCCTCCACGCGCTGATCCGGTCGTAGGGTCCCTGCTGTGCCCCTGAGGACTGTGTGCGCCTGAGTCACTAACACCCTTGAGCATCATCTCATCCGTGAAACAGGGTTCCTAGCACCTTATTCTCAGTGCTTCTGTGACTATCAGACAACATGTGACAATGACCCCACAGGGTCCTCTCCCTGCCTGTTGAACCTCCCTCTGCACCGCACTCCCCCTGGAGTCCCCTCGTCCCAGCATCCAGCTCCCCTCTGCTCTTGGCCTCACTGACTCCGCAGTTCCTCGGGGAAGAAAATGCTACTGACTCCCACCCCAGGGCCTTTGCCCAGGCCCTTCTCCTCCGTGGGGAAGGCTCTCCTCCCACCCCAGCTCCACCGAGTTCATGTCACTCACTGTCCCATCTCCCTTCTTCAGCCAAGGTCAGGGTCTTTGCCATAAGGTCCCCCAAAAGCTGCATCCCTTCCCTTCAGAGCCCTTATCTCACTATGGAATTCTAAGTGATCATTTATTTCTGGCTCCTGTTCATGTTCCAAGAGATTCGGGACCACGGTCCTGCTTAACATTGCACCCCTAGAGCCCGGCACAGCGCCTGACACACAGTAGGCACGCAGAACACGTGCCGGCCGAGGGACTCGATGAACGAGAGCACAGGGTCATATAAAGCACTTAGCAGGGCGCCTTGAACAGGGCAGAGTCCCCTCACATTTTCTTTCCCCCTGGCTGAGGAATTCCACCTCTGACCGTTTTTCCTCGCAGGCATTTTTTTTTTTTAATTTTCCATCCAAGTGTCAGCAGGGAAAGCAAGCAGAGCCTCAGAGGGTCAGCAAAGAATGTGCTTTAGTCTAACTGGGGGTAGCACATGAGTCAGGGAAAATGAGACGGGCTGCCCACAGCCTAGCTCCCTGCCCCCAACACACCCCACTCCCCGGGCCTACAATAGCAATTCCGACCCCCACGCTGGAATCCCAGGGCACGGTGCCTGGGTGCAGGAGGAGGGCTTTGAACCAGCCTCTTGATTAGGAGAAAGGAGATAATTCCACTCCCAGCCCCACAGCTCCCTGTGACCCTGGGCAGATGCCCCCACCCTCACCCTCCAAACATGACCTCAGCGCCACAGCTGTGAAAAGGGTGGGTGTGGCGGAGCTGATCCCTCAGAACCCGCCCCTCCTAACTGCAGCTGAAGGGCGGCAGATGCAGGCGGGTGGGAGGACCCCGGGCCCGGCAGGCTAAGACACAAGCACATGTACCAGGGGCAGGCCCCAGCTCAGGCCTGTGGGTGCTCACTCCTCTGAGGTGTCACCCCAAAGTGGGAAACAGCCAGGGCCTGTCAGCCTGTGGGACAATCTACCTCTGACCTTCCCTCTGGGGAGAGTTTGAGGTCCCACCCGTCTGATGAAGTCAGCAACCATGAGGAGCGTGTGGGTGGGCGTCTGAGAGATGAGAACTAGCGCTGGCTCCAGGCCCCAGCTTACTCCAGACTCCCGTCCCGGCGTCCCTGCCCAGGGAGCCAGCAGCCAGGAAGGAGCAAGCAGCCACTCACCCTGCTCCGGGATCGGTTGCTGGGGATGCCTGGTTCTGCGACCCCCAGGCAGCCTGGTGTGGTCGCCTGAGCTCCGGCTGGAAGCGGGCAAAGCTTTATGGAAGCTCCAGCCACCGTGCCAGGGGGGTGGCAGAGTCGGAGTGGCACCGCCCATGCCCGCTTTGGGGGTAGAATATCAAAATGGTAAGTGCAAAGGAAACCAGAAGCAAGCTTAAGAAAACCAGCTGGAGTCTTTAGGAAGCCAGGCCACACGGCCCTGGGGTCCAGGTGGGAAGTCAGAAGGCCTGCCATGGCAGAGCCGGGAGGTGCTTCGATGCCCACCTCCTCTAAGCCCTGGTGGAGACGGACGGCCTGCACCATCACGGCAGACGCCACAACACCACACAGGCCACCCAGGCTAGCTGCCCCTTAGTTTCACCTGCTGCTGAGTCATCATTTGAACCCCGTTCCTAATAAGTTAAAGGCTTTCAACCAGATCACATCTTCTTTCTGCTTTCCTGTGTGCAATGTAGAGTGAGTTCATCTAAACTAGGGGTTAAGCTGAGACACAGACACGCTAACTCCTTGAAACTGTCAAAATTATGTGCACGGTGCCCAGGTGCATGGGGGTGGGACCACAGCTTTTCTGAAAGCCCCAAAGACACTGAAGTTCCAGAAAAACAGACCTTCCACCATCTGTGTTGATAAGAGGTCAACTCATGGCTCTAGGACAGTGGCTCCGGCAGAGGTCACTGTCCCCCGGGGGACATCTGCAATGCTGGAGACCTTTTCGTGGTCACGGGTAGGTGGGTGCTACTGGCACGTAGCAGGCAGAGGCCAGAGATGCTTCTGCATGCCCCGTGAGGCACAGAGCAGCCCCTGCACCTGAGTGGTCCGGGCCTCCCCTAATCAGCAGTGCCAAGGTGGGGAGCCCTGCTCTGAGCTCCACACATGGAGCGCACCCAGGAAATGGAATGATGGGCCCCTGCCCTCTGTGCGAGTCCCCTCACCTCCGGAGGGGCTGGCTGCACCCCAGGCGGGCTGGCGGGGATGCCGCCGGGGTGGCTGCAGCCGGAGGGGTGTTTTGTCAGCAAGGTGGCACCGCACTGGCACCTGGACACTGGCTGTGCCTGAATCCCAGCTATGGGCTCCTCAGTCAGGACTGGGGCAGTTTCCAGGGTGACAGGTCATCACCAGGGCAGGGAGACCAGGAGGCTATGTGCCTGGTCCCTTGAGACCCAGTCAGCAAAGAGAGCCACCCCCCAACCCCCAGCCGATCAAGCTCCGTGTGAAAAGCCATTCCCAGGCCCGGGCAGCCGAAGCACCACACAGCAGGCCAGCACTTACCTTCAGGCAGCTCTGTCACCTCCTTCCCCTCATCCTCCTCTGAGGGAAGATGAGAAGAGGGGTGCGGAGCAAAGAGAGGCAGGTGATGAAAAGGAGAGGGAGAGCAAAAAGGAAAGAGAGGTCAATCAACAGAGATCATTTCTTGAGAGAGAATTTGCTGAGAAAAGGGAGGTGGGAAAGCAGAGGTGAGGCCAGGGCAGAGGTGACTGTTCACAGAAGTGCCCCAGGGTGAGGGTAGGGTCCAGCCTGACTGGACCCGGGTTCTGGGGCAGCAAGGCCAGGTGCTCAGGGCACAAGTGCTCTGGTGTTCAGGTGCTCAGGTGCTCAGGTGCTCGAGGCACACGGCTTACAGAGGGCCTGGCTCTCAGGAGCAGCAGGCCCCACCCCCACGGCTCCAAGGCCAAGTGGTGCCATCCCTGCCACAGGCCCTGCCCCAGGGCTTTCTCGGGCTGTGTCTCCAGCAGGCGTGTGCACGCCCAGTGAGAGGAGCCCCCCACCACCTTCTTCTCCCAGTGACACAGTGTCCCTGGCCATGTGGACACCTCCTGGACGGGAGGCTGTGCCCGGCCGTGTGTCCTCGTGGGTCACACGTGCATGCCATTGCGTTCCTACCTGGCAGGATCAGCCTTCTGGGGACTAAGGGAAAGAAGCCAGGTTGGCCCCCAGAGCCCCAGCCCAGCCCTGAAACCAGGGTCTAGGGAACAAGCTTCTGGACTCCGCCTGCTTGAAATGGCCACTGAGGGCCCGGGGCCCCCCACTTGCTCCTTCCTCCAAAGGAACGAGAGGAGCTTGGAAACGTGATGAGGAAGCGGGAGGTGTGAACCTGGGGGTGCGAGTGTGTGTGGGGGGCCTGTCTGCACGTGTGTGCATATGTGTACACACACACGTATCGGAATACCGAGGCACGGGGGAGCATGGCGCTGGCCAAGAGCTGACCCACTCTAAGGAAACCCAGGCCAGGACTCCAAATCCCCAAGTCAGAGCACGCTGGGAGCGGCACTGACCCCCCAGGTCAGGGGGCCGGAAGGCTGCCAAGTGATCTACCCCCTCAACCCCCGACCTCAGCACGGGCACTAACCCAGGCTGCCATCCTGTTGCCAGGAAGGTCTGGAGCACCCACCACCTCTGGGTCCTGCCCAGGACTACAGGGGGGTCCTCCGACCCCCACTCCTCTCTCTCTGGCCTCCTCCACTGCCTCCCTTCCAGCCAGAGTCACTCACCGCCTGTGGGGTGCAACAGGATGTCCGCTGGGTTGTGGGGTTTCAGGCCCAGAGCAGAGAGGGGTGTCTTGGCCAGACCTGGAGGGGAGCGCACTGTGCCAGAAAGAAGAGAGGAGACATGGGGTGTGAGTCTCAGGTCCTGGGGGCAGGGGGAGGTGCGGGGCAGAGGGGGAGGGGCAGGGGGGAGGGCACCCGTGGATGAGGGCTTGCCGGGGAGGGCTGGGCCGCAGGAGAGGAGCAGAGGAACCAGCTCCAGGGCAGGAGCGCTGCTGCGGCTCCACCGCCCCTGCCCTTTCCCGTGGGGTGGGGGGCAACCTGCACAGGGTAAAGGGTAAGGTGAGTCAGGAAGGACATCCTGGTGCTGGCCTCAACCACGAGCCAACCCCTCCTTTCCCTAGGCCCCTAGTTTCTTCACCACAGTCCCTTCGCGTGCCATGCTTTGTGACGTACACGCAGCGGGCTTTTTGGCCACCTCTGATTTTCTCACATACTGTTCCTTCTGTTCCTTCCCTCCCCACCCCCCCACACACACAGTCTTCCTAAAGCAGGCACAGAGATGGACTGAGGGGAGAACAAAAGAAAACGGGGCGCCCAGAGGGCATGTCCTGGAGAGGACAGGTTGGGGAGAAGGAATCACCAGCAGGACCACGCTGACCATGAGAGCCCAGGCCAGCCCGCAGCCAAAGGGCTCGCCCCTTGCAAACCCCAGCAACAGAGAATTTCTCACCCTGGGGCTCTCTGTACCTGCCACACCTCGGTGTCCTGGCTGAGGGAGAAGCCCAGTCTCCACAATCCTTGCGCAAGAGAACCGACTCCCTGCACAAACCCCAGGTCCCTCCCAAGCCGCCTGTCCAGGTTAGAAGTGTCACATAACACACAAGGTCAGAAAGGGCTATCGGGCTTTGTCCCACCAGCCAAGGAAGAGGCCAGACTTTGAGCTGATCTGCAGGGAGATGGTCACGCCCAGTCACGAGATTTCTCAATGGCAGCTGCCACATATCCTCACAGAGCTCCAAGGAGAAGCAGAAAAAACAAGCTCTGTGTCTCCTATCTCGGTCATCAGGGGCCTGCACGGGCCGTGGCCGCTGAGGACACGCAGCCGCGGAGCTTTGCCATGGCCCAGGGCTGCCCGCCCCACACCAGAGGCCTCGACAGACTAGCTGTGACCCTCAGTTGTCCAGGACCCCCCACACAGCCCCTCTGGGACCCTCCCTGGCCCCATGTCCCTTCCCCAAAAGACAGCGAGACCTATAGGAAACTAACTAAAAATACAATCTCTCAATGCAAGTAACCTATGTAACTCATTTGTGTGTGCACAGGTGTGTACGGAGGTGTCTGTGAGAACACGGAGACTCACAGGGCCCGGCGGGGAGCCCGCTCCTGCACGCCACCCCACTCTGCCCTTCGAGGCCCGGCACACAAACACGGCAGAGGGGCAGCTACGTACAAACACACACGTCCAGGCATCGGGCAGGCCTAGGCCTGCGTGTCCGTCTGTCCCTCCTTCTCCCTTTACACACGCACACAGAGGTGTCTTGCAATGAACACTTATCAAGCAGTTATTCATGTTTCACACGAATGAATCTCAATGTAATTACTTATGGAAGAATGAGCCACAACCCAGGCCACAGCCCAGGGCGCAACCACAAGGGCTCCCCTGCCCCTAAGTGTGGGAGGCTTTTCTGGGTTCCCCTCACACACGCCCGGCTCCCTGCTTGCTCATGCCCCCAGCGCCCAGGATCCGTCCCTTCTCTGAGGCCGACGAGGGGGTGGCCCTGAAGCCAGGCAAGGCTTTTGCTTCCGGGAAAATTCCTCACATTTCTCCGCCTCTGTCCTCCCTCCCAGCCCTGTGCATGGGTGAAACCTCGGACTTTTTTCCCCACCCCCGCCCCAAGGGCACTTGTGAGGGGAGAAAGAGAAGAATGGGAACAGGAACAAGGGGCCAAAGCCAACCCAAGCTCGTCCCACACGACTTCGGTCCCAAACAGGGAAATGGCCAACGTCTTGGCTGCTCAGACCGACGTGGAATCGGAGTAGGTGTGAAAGGTGAAGGGTAAGGCCAGGGAGAGAGATTCCATGGAGTCGTGAAAGGCCACCGGGCTGTCTCCTGAGCGTAGACTGTCTGGGGCTTGTGCCGCCCAGGGTGGCAGCCACAAGCCACTCGGGCCCACGGAGAACGTGCAACGTGGCCATTCTGAACCAAGAGCTGTGACACAGAGATCTCAAGGACCTGATATGAAACAAGAATGCACACTATCTCACAAGAACGCACACTATCTCAATCTGTGGTTACATGTTGAAACGATAATATTTTAGATCTTTGGGGTCAAATAAAACCTATTATGACAATTAGTTTCACTGGTTTCTTTTCACAGTTTCTTGAAAGAATGAAAAATATCTCATTGATATTTTTATATGGATTTACTTACTGAAATAATAGCTTGGATACTTTGGGTTAAATAAAAAACAGATCATTACATTTAATTTCTCCAGTTTCCTGTTATTTTTTAAATGTGGCTATTAAAATGTTTAATGACACACATGGCTCGTGTTACATTTCCATTGGACAGCACGGCTTCAGGGACAGCCACGCCTCTGGTCACAACGTCAGCCTCCCGCAGACCCAACATGGCAGCCAACACGAGTTCTGCAGGAGCAAAGGCCGGGTCCGGCACCCCGTTCCTCCTTCCCCAGAGCAGCCAGCCTCCAGGAGAGCCCACGGGGAGCTCCAGTTCTCCTCCCCACACACCTGCCCTCTCACCAGGGCAGGTGCATACACAGCTAGGGCCTGGCCCAGCCACCCCAATCCCAGAGCAACACCCGTCTCTCCCTCCTCTGCCGACCCAGGCCTCTCACGGAGACCCTGAGTCCTTTGCGGCTGCTATTGGTCCTTCACTGCTTTCCCACAAAGGGCTTCTCCGAGCTCCTCTGCATGTCTCTTCTGCCATAAGAAGGAACCCTGTCCCACTCCTGGGCTCATCCGAGTCTTCTTCTCTCTGGGGGGAAATCCCTGTGCCTTTGGAGGGGCTGCCTCTCCAGTGAGTGCAGCAGGGGCATAGACTGAATGTTCCTGCCTGCAGGCCAGGAACGGGTGGCATGGGGACTCAGCCAGCCCGAGGACGCTGGGCCTTTCTTTCCTTGATGGAAACTAAATGAGGTGTCTGGATGCACCCAGAAATGGGCATTAGAAGCAAGAAGGTCAAACAGTGTCTCAGAGACACACGAGCAAGTCCCAGTCACCTTAGAGTAGAGGGTTTTGTACACAGGATGCAAAGACTCTCAACGACTTGGAAAACTCCACACCATGAGAGCCCAGGGGCCCCGGGTCACTCAGTGGGGTCCTTAGACTGTGTTGCTGCATCCTTAGATTTGGCGTAGACAACAGAAGAGAAATGCGGGATGGAAGGTGAAGTGACATGAGCCACAGGATGATTAGGGACAGACTGTGGCTCTGCCCAACTTAGCCAGCATCCCCCACCCCAAGCCCCAGGTGCTTACACAGGCAAGCGTTGAGATAGCAGCCCAAGGAGACCCAAGGGAGACAGGCTTAGAGGGGAGTTCTTACCCACACTGGGCGGTGGGCTAGTTGGAGATGTCCCTTCTATCTCCTCGAAGGCCTCCTTGTAGCTGTGCAGATGGGGCTGCGGAAGGAAAAGGGGGCACGCTGGTGGTCATAACCTTGAGAAGAAGGCATTTTCCACTAACCAGCCCACAAAGCCCCTCACCAACCTGACCACCCACCCTTGCCCAGGTGAACACACAGGTCAAATGCAGATGCTGCCCATTCATGGCCCCAGCAACTCCTTGTAGCCAGGAGAATGGAAAGTGGCTATTTTGCAAAACCATCTGTAAGGCACAGGTGGAATTCAGGAGCACCTGCCTGGGAAATATTCCAGAACAGGGCCAAAGAGAAGGGTCCTGGGCCTGGGGACTCGGGGCCTAGCAGAAGGCAGAAGGAAAAAGGTGTCTAGAATCATTCCTGCCCATAATGATTCCACCTGGATTTTACTGGGCATGTTCTGCTCACATCAGAATGTTCCAGAGTGCACATTTAGAATGCACATCCTGGGGCCCACCCCAAAGTAAAGTGCTGGAATCTCTGGAGGCAGATTTGGCAGTCACATTTTAACAGACTCTCGGTGATTGCAGACACGCTGAAGTTTAAGACCTACTGCCTCAAACCACTGCGATGTCTCAGAAATGCAAATATTATGGCACGGAAATCAGATCTTCAGAAAAAAATTTTGTATCTAGAAAGAGCTCAGAAACACTGTGTCAGCCCTGGCTGGTGTGGCTCAGTGGATTGAGCACTGTCCTGTGACCCAAAGCATTGCCAGGTCAATACCCAGTCAGGGCACATGCCTGGGTTGCAGGTCAGGTCCCCAGGAGAGGGTACATAAGAGGCAACCACATATAGATGTTTCTCTCCCACCCTACTCTTTCTCCCTCCTTTCCCCTCTCTAAAAAAGAAATAAATAAAATCTTAAAAAACCAAACCACTGTGTCAGACTGTACATCTGGTGTGAAGTTTACAGGCCACGGTCCCCTATGTCATACTCAGGGTTCTTGCCACCCTGCTCAGGGGCACTCTTTAGGTGTCAAGAAGGAAACTCAGTCTCGGTGTTAGTGGAAGATGTGAGGCATAAAAGCAATTTAGGGGAGGAAATGAGCTCCAGATTCCACATGCCAAAGCCCTCGGTGAGATGCAGAGAGGAAAAGTTACCAGGCTTACGGACTGGTCAGTGCCAGCCAGCTGATCATCATGTTCCTGGGGCATTCAGGTGGGCTCTGCTACCTTCTGTGGCTGCAGAATGTAGCCTGGGGACTCACCTCTTTGGGCCGCCCTCCAGGATTGAGAGCAATGGTGAGAGCCAGCTCTGGGGACACACACTGGACAGGGGAGCGAACCCCAGGGCTCCGGGGGGATGAGGGCTCCGAAGACTGGTTCTCGTACTGTCCATCGCTGGCCGCCCGCCTCCGGAGAGGGGCCGGGGGCTCTGCAGGCTGCTTCTCCCGAGCCTGCACCCCTGGGAGGAACGGCAGGGCAGAGAGGGCCGTGAGCATGTCGTATGACCAAGGATCAATCCGGTCTACCTCCCCCAGAGAGGACAGCGCAAGCTCAAGAGCCATGCCGGAGCTGGGCCTGTCTCCCCTCTGCACCGCCCCCTGCCTCCCTCTGCCCACACCCTGGGTTTCTCTGTAGGGTGGGGGCCCTGCTTAGGCTGGGCTGGCCTTCACCAGGAATCTAGTGCACACAGGGTTGGGGCCCAGAGCACAAAGGACTGATACAAGAAACAGATGTCAACTCCTTCCAAGGCCTGGAGGCAGAGGGCCAGAGCTTCCAGGCAAATGAGGGAAGGTGGAGGGAGGAGAGACAGTCTCCAAGGCGACTGATCAACCAACAAGCAACATCAGGCCCGTGGGGAAGAACTTTTGGAAAGAGAAAATAATGCATCATCTTGCAAATGGTGCTCCCAAGAAGGAACAAAGGAATGACTAAGTCTTATTATGAAGTCCCCAGCCCCAGCTGGCCCCTGGACCTTCTCTGGGGTTCCCCAACTTTACCCAGCGCACCTCTGAATCCTCTTACTAATTTCCCTTATGCCAGCCCTTAGCTGCCCACCCCTTTCTTGCCCCAGAAATGGTCCAGGTTCACACCCTGCCCCTCCCAGGAGAACAGCAGGCAAAGTGCTGGAATCATGCATTCCGTCTGCTTTTCTGTACTTCCTTCCATTCCACAGGCCTGGGGATGTTGTTAACCCCACCCTCCCACCTTCCCATCCCCTCTTCCCACAGCTGGGCTGAGGCACGGAACCCTTGCCTCACTGAGCTGGCTCTAGAATCCTAGAAAACTTACCCCCCCCCACACACACCGCCCCAGGGCCCAGAGGCCACAACCAGCCTGAGGGCAGGCTCCTGGTCCTGATTGTCTCCCACCAGGGGGTTCTCAGCCCTGCCTTCACCACCGTGCAAGAGCAAGTCGGGCGAGGGGCCATGCTGGGACTTACCACAGGTCATGTGGGACCGAGACCCTGGTCACACCAGCTGCATGTCAGCACACTTGGGAACACTGCCCCATGGCAGGCAAGTGCACACATATACACACACACGCATGCATGCACACGCACACGCACACACTGCGGGCCCCTAGGAATGTGCCAACCAGAAATCACCCTCATTCAGACGGTCCAGAGTAGGGTCTGCACACCACGGGCGGCCTCCCAGCTCCCGTCTGGCACGGCCGCTGGGGCTGCCATGAGAGGCACAGGCTGGGAAGCCGTCCTACTTGTCATGAATAGGGGGCTCCCGGCTGCCAAATCCAGGCACGGGCACTCCGAGATGCACACTCGCACTCCACCACAACCAGAGGCCCTGTCTGGAGGTCTGGAGAGCAGCCGGTCAGCGCTCCCACTGGCAAATGCAGGAGGTGCCCGGTGGTGTTCCGAGTCCCCACCTGCAGCTCTGTATTGCTAGGAAGCAGCCTGCAGCTGAGAGGAAAGGGCCAAAATGGGGACTGTAAACCAGACTCACAACGGTTTTACTTCAAATAGGCCCCTCACTTTGAAGTACCCTGACTTTCAGAATAGAAAATGGGGGTTGCATTGCCCTAACCAGGGGACAGAGAAAGAAGGGGTGCATCTCTGAAAGCCCTGAGCAGTGCACAGGGACCCTACAACCACCCCAGGCTCCCGGCCCTGCGAGAAGCCGCCACCTGCAGGCGCCCCTGCCCCGGGCCACGTCTCTCCCTACCCCACCAAGCCCCCCGCCCCTCAGCCCTCCCGGACAGCTTGGTCCAGAACTACCGCTGGTTTCATTCCTGGCAAAAACATTAGAGAAAAACAGACATAGCCATTGATTTTCTAATAATAATTGTGACAAAAGAGGCCCGTTCAGGAAAGGCTCTTGGGGTTTGGAACCAAGTTCAGCCCCAAGGTTAACAGAAATGCATTAGGGCTGGTTTTCAGTTCCGGCTGGCCCGGCCCCGCAGCCTCTTCCTGGCAGATCCCTGTGCCTTGGTGAAGGGTGGCCAGCCACCCTGCGTGGGAGCTGATGTCCACCCTTGAAAGGGGGTCTGTTTCAACTTGAAGCCGAATCTCGCGGAGGGACAAAGAACATTCTCGCCGGCGTGCCCAGGACACCCACCACACCCAGTGCCACCACGCCTGGAGGCAGCGCAGGACTGCTGGAGGGGCTTCCCAACCGTGGAGGACATCTGAGAGCCATCTCACCTCTCCGAGTCTCCTCCCCGTGGCCGCCAGACCGGCACACGGGAGCGTGGTCGCTCCCGATGCAGGGGAGTGCCAGAACGACCTCCCAAGAGCTGGGGCGCTGCAGGGGCGCCTCCATCTGCAGGAGGCGGAAGACCCCACGTTCCACTCCCATGGGACAGCCCCTCCCCCGCAGAGTGCCCATGGCACCCGTGACCAGCCGGGGCCTCTCACATTCTTTGAACACAGTGTCTCACTGTTGTCCCCCTTGGCAGGCCCAGATCTGCCCCTCAGCACCCGGACAGCCATGTCCCCTCTCTCTTGTCCTTCCCTACGGGAAGGGAGACGAAGCAGGGCAGAGGGGAGAGAAGAGAGCCCCATTGTTCCTCAGCCAAGCTGGGCCTTCTGGACACAGGCTGACAGCCAGTGTCAGAGCGAGAACGCCCCTCCCTCACATCCTGGAGACTGACCAATAATAAAAATAGGCCTGCTCCCCCCACCGCCCTCCTCCCCTCCACCACCCTGGACCCCAGGCCTTTCTCAGCCTCTAGGCCCATTCTCTCTCTCAGTGCCACTGTCCCTGTGTGCTCCACCCGCTGAGTGCACAGAGGCACTGCACACATATACACTTGCACACACATGTGCACACGGCCTTCACCCACCAGGAACAGCAGGAGGTCTGCGTCACCCTCAGCCCCCTGCACTGTGGCCAGCCCCTTCCCCAGCACAGCCAGAGGAGGCTCATGAAGAAAGCAGGAGAGAGGCGGTGGTGGGGCCCTGGAAGGCCTTCCCAGACAGGCTGGCGAGTAGGCCCAGCAGCAGGAGCACTGGAGTGCTCTGGTGGCAATGAAGTGTTCTTCAGGACAATAACATGCTACACTCAGAAGCCCTCTGTCGTCCTCTGAGGGCTGCTGGGCATCCCCACTGCCTGCGGGACGATGGTCACCTCAGCCCAGGGCCTCCACACAAGCCACCAGACCTGAAGAGCAGGGCGCCGGAACAGCCCCTCTCTGCCGGGGGTCCTCACTCTGCTCCCCAGCGGTGCTGCGCCTGGGGAAACAGCTGGCTCCAAGGCTCCCTCCTAACGCAGGCTGGGGCTGAAACACTAAATCCACTTCCTCTAACCCACTCACACATACTTGCTCACACACTTACACACACCACAATTCTGGGGGCTGCAGCCCTGATGCCACCAATGCACACACTCATGGCCCCGAACACCCCTGGGTCCCGTGGAGAAACGCCTCGGCATCAGGCTTCATCACAGGCCTCCCCTACAACCCACAGACCCAGCTCTTCCTTCCAGCCTTCCGATTTCCAGAAGACTGGGTTCCTCAGCTCCAGGTGGCGGGGCAGGTGTCCAACAGCATGCCGGGGGCTCCGGAAGTGAGGGGGTCCGGGAAGCCACCTGCTGGGCCAGGGCACCCGAAAGCCACACGGCGGTCACACTAGCAGCCCCAGGGCAAGCCATGCCAGCTCCCCTCAGGACAGGCCCACCACCCCAGAACTGCTCCAAACCCCGGGTTCGCTTGAACACTGCACTCCCCACCACTGGGCCGAGAAAAAGGGGGGAGGGAGAGGAGAGGAGGCAGACAGGGGCATTCTGCTAGAGCCAGCTCCCCATTATCCATGGACGGGGAGAAGGAGGGTCCAGGAGGTACCAGATACTGCCACTGGGAGTCAACTGCTCCCACCACCCCCCATAAGCCTTCTCCCAGACCTAACCAAGGCCATGGCGTGGGGCAAGCCTGAGCACCATCTTCTCCCTGGCCTGGGCCTCCAGGCCCCAGGGAGCAGGGAAAGGGTGAGGAGACTCAGCCCCTAGGCCTAAAAACCTATCAGCTCGTTTGTCCAAGAGACCAGGGTAGATGTAGTGAACTACATCACCCTCAAATAGAGCGACATGACCCTTGATGAAGGGCCCACCACGTCGGGGCACATCGAGCCACCATGCAAAACACACGGCAGGGCCACGATCCCTCCACTTCTCATAGGGGCAAACTGAGCTCTGAGTAATGAAGAGACTTGGCCAGGGTCACAGAGGTGGTCACAGTCAGGCCCAGGACCATACTCAGGGCTTCTGACTCTTGGCCATGGTTCTGGGATCAGAGATTCGGAATGAGTTCACAAGGGGCGCTCTGTCCCCAAAGAGTGCTGTACTCGGGAGTGGACCGAGCAGCAGGAGCCGGGGCACCATTCTTTGTCTTGTGCCCAGCGGCCCATGCAAAGCACAGCCTGGCACCTGCTGAGGCCCTGGCCCGGCATCCCCGGGGGGGTGCGCCACGGTGGCTGGAGAGCTGGGCTGTCCAGAGCCCTGCAAAGGCCTGTGTGTCCATGGGGAACCTGAGAGTTAGTCTAGTTACCCCAGACCCTGTTCCCAGCAGGCAAGGCCAAGGCCAAGGCCAGAAGCTTCAGGCCTGTGTCCATGCAGAAGTGGGAGCACTCGTTCATGCAGAAGGAGGGAGGAGGGAGCAGTAGGCAAGGAGAGAGAAGGGGGGTGGTAAGAAAAGGAAAGAGGGGTGGTAAGAAAAGAGGGGCAACAGAGAATATAAAGGAGATGCGAAGAAGAGAACAGAAGAAGGAAGAGAAAAAAGTGAGGAGGAAATAGAAAAATAAAGAGAGGGGAAAGTGGACAAAGGTTTAGAAAAAACAGCACATGAAGGAGGAGGGGGAGAGAGAAACTGAAAGCTACGATGAGGGCCAAGGAATTCTGAAGCGGGGAAGGGGAGGAGAGGGACCAACCAGAGAGGGAGGAAGATCGGAGCCGGTGGAGAGGAGGGTGCCAGCAGCTGCTCTGCCCCATGCCCTGCAGTCTGGCATTGTACGCTGCCCACGCCACCCAGGGGGAGCCGGCAGGGAGGGGAGGCAAGCGGGAAGGGAAGGGATGACACCAGGCAAGGAAGGCACCACACCCATGGCACAAGGAACAGGTGGACACGGGAAACATGAAAGACGCAAGGGACGAGCCATTAAACAAGACGAAACAAAACAAAAACAAAGAGAAAATCAGGATTAGTTGGTATTCCGAGTCTGGGGTCTGGCCACACACCGGAGGAAGGGTGGCAGACAGAAGAGGGGCAGGATCCAGGTTCTCGCTCCTCCAAAGGGCAGACAGACCTCCTCCTGTCCAGCAGGACACCGTGTCCCTCTGATTTCTCACCCCAGCGCGGGACCGGGAGACTTCAGTCCTGCTGCCCACAGGTCACCTGCCCCTGGCAGTCAGCATGGGCCCATCCTGGGTCCTCCTCTCCTGTCATGGTCACCTGACTCTTCCTGGCTTCAGCTGTGACCCTGCCAATCTGAGCCCAAGGATCCTACTCCTTCGCCTCCCAACCTCCCTCAGCCCTCGTTCTTCCTTCCCACCCACCATGGAAACCTCTTCTGCAGGAGCCTCTGCAGGAGCCACTCACAGCATTCCGCAGCTGCCCGAGTTGCTGGGCACCACTGAAAAGCCATTAAAATGAGCCTGCCTGGGTGCACCCAAAGGGCCTGCTATGGCATCCTATGGCATCCTGCTAATCACCCTAGCTGACTTCCAAGCCACCTTCCCACACAGGGCCTCCCAGTGACCGGCATCGCCCCGCCCTGGCTTCCAGGGACCAACGCCCTTCAGCTTGCCTCCAGGCTGCACAAGCTGGCCCACACCAGTGCCTCTGCCGGTGCCTCCCACGTTTCTAACCGTGGAACGTGTGAGGCTCAGGGACGCACACCTGGGCCTCCCCTCTGCCTGTGCTCATGTCACAGCCGCACACGGACTCCTCCCACATTCCTAAGCTCTGTCCCCTCCCCCCTGGAGCTCCTGACTTCTCTGTCCCACCAGCGTGAATGTTTCATGGGCATCTTAAATCTCACATGGCCAAAACCACACTTCTATATCCCCTCTAAGCCGGCTCTTCCTACAGTCGTACCCATCCCAACACAGGGCAACTCCATCCTTTAGGTGCTCAGGGTCAAAAACCTTATGACTTTTCTTTCTCTCGTATCCCCTTTCTGGCATGTCTATAAATCTTGATGGTTCCACCTTGAAAATACGTCTACAGGCTGAGCACTTCTCCCCATCACCATAGACACCGTCTTGATCAACATCAGCAGCCTCCTAACTGGTCTTCCTTCTTCCTTCCAGGCCATACTGATACTTCTAGAACAAGCCAGATGAAGTCTTCGGCCCAAGTCCTTCCTAAGGCTTCTCCCACCACTCTGAGTCAAAGCCAGAGATTTTACGGTCACCCACCAGGCCCACGTAAGCTGGCCCCCATTCCCATCACCTCTCCAACTTCGTGTCCCACTACACTCCCCATACGGGCGCACTCCTGCCTCAGGGCCCTTGCACTTGCTGTTCCCACCTGGTATGTTCCCTCACTGCTCTGAGAAGCTGTCCCTGACCACCCCATGTGAAGTGCAACCACCCACCCGTCCTCTCCCTATCACTGGCACGTCACTGCTTTAGCTCTGTGGCACTTACCACCCATCTGACATATCATATAGGTATTTGCTTATTTGCTTATTGTCTACCTGCACCATGAAAGCAAGGATTTTTACTTTCTTTGTTTACCACCGTTCTTCCAGAGCCTAGATCAGCACGAAGCACAGTTTAGGGGCTCATGTTGAATTAATGATCAAATGGGCCTTGATCTCATCCCCTATTTCCATGATGAAATATAAAAATAGTGTTCTCAATTCAAGCTCCCAAAGCTTAGCACCAGTATCTCCCTGTAGCTGTACCTATCCTTTATTATTTCAGGAAAAGGTAGCTTACCTCTTGGTGGAACCTAAATTCTCCACCTGAGCTCCTAAGCCTGCCCTCTCTTACTTTCCTAGAGACCTTATTCTATCGATTTCTTTCTCTCTCTTAAACCTTTTTCTTCTCCTTCTACCCTCCCTATTAAATTTCTCTCTTCTCTACAAACATTGTTGTTTCTTATATTTACGAAAAGAAAGCTCTCAATACCCTGCTGGCCTCTTTAGCTACCACCTTCTCTCCTTTTATCACAAAACCACTCAAAAGAGTAGTTGACATGCTGTCCACACTCCCTCTGCACTCACTCCTCAATCCCTCTGCCTGGCTTCCATCGCCAGCACTCTCCTGAAAATATGCCTTTGAAGATCACTAGGGCCACCTGATTGGCAAGCCCAGTGCATTGTTCTCGACCTTCCTCCTCATGACCTCTCCACAGGGACCCCTCACTCTTCCTCCTGGAAACCCTTTACTATGCTGACCTCTGCAATGACCCACAGCCCGTCTCCTCTCACCACCCCCCTGACCATCCCATTTCAATCCCTGTACGGCCTCCATTCCCCTCATGGTCATCTTACTCTGTGTTCCTTCCTTTCCACGCCCTCTGACACAGAGACATCCATGCCCACAGCTTTAAACTTCACCACTGTAAGGATGACTCCAAAATCCATAGCTCTTTCTACTCTTGCAAACTCAGATTCTGGGTATTCAATTGCCTTCCTTATATCTCTACCTGGAGGCTCCACCATCACCTCAGACTGAGCATCTCTAACCCTGAGGTCTTCATCTTACACCAAATTTGCTCTTCCTCCTAACTCCTGGCATAGTAATAGAACCATTATTTTATTCCTGTTCATAAAACCTCAGGGTCAGCTTTGATGTCTCCCTCTCCCTTACCCACTCCACCCAAACAATTTGTAAACTCCCACTAGTTACACAGCCTCCTTAGCCTCCATCTCATCTTTTTCATTTCCATGGTCAGTATCCTAACCCAGTCCCCACACCTAAGCTATCTAGTAAGCTCCTAAATCTCTCCCATTTTGCATCCTTCCTGCCCAGACCCACCAGGTACATCTTCCTAAACTACAGCTCTGATCATGGCACACTCTCCTGACTAAAATACAGCTTCCTACATTGCCATTAGGTAAGATTCAAGCTCCTTAGTCTGGTCCTTAAGACCAACCAGAGGTAGGGCCTAGGCTACCATTCTTGACTCTCCCACACAGCCTATAAGCTCTACTCTGTTCTTCAAACATTTCCCATGTTCTTCTGCCTTCACTACAAACCCTCTCTCTCCAATGACCCCATTCACTTTCAAAACCCTACCCATTGTCCAAGGCTCTGTTTAAAACCCACACTCAACACAGAGCCTTTACAGTCTCTCTTGCTGATAGTGTTATCTCCTTTCTCCTCATTCCCACAGAACTTTCTCCATGCCTCCCTTATTACAAATGACTTCATTTTAAACTTCCAGTTCTTTTTTTCCCTTACTAAACTCTAGACTCCTTAAGGATAAGATCCACATCTTATTTCCAACATGCATTGAAATCTCTACCTCTACAGACATTTGAGATCAGACCAGTCACAGAATCGGGATCATAAGATAACTTGATTGGACTCACCAACTCTGACTCTTATTTCCTTTTCTTGTCTTATTGCACTGGCTAGGACATCCAATACAATGCTGAATGATAGTGGTGATAATGGGTGTTCTTATTTTGTCCCTGGCTGTAACAGTAATGTTTCTAATGTTTCACAAAAAAGTATAATGTGTGATACAGGTTTCTGGTACCTACCCTTTATTAAGTTAAGAAAACTACCTCTAAATTATCTAAGATCTAAGCTGAAATAAAATGTAAAGAGTTGTTGGATCAAAGTGGAATGAACCCAGGACATAATACTAAGCATGGAGAACAGCCAAATAGAAAAATGAAGACCTGGGGAGAAAAGCCAGGAGAAACCAGATCAAGTTCATGGCCACGAAGAGGTTGTCCCTTGGATCTGAACTTCCTGGGTTATTCATGTTAAAGCTTATGTTCCAGCTTCTTGCAGAAACAGAATGAGCAGAAAGGAGTGGTGCTAGAAGTTTATCATCCCTGGCTCCTAGACTATTCTGACATTGATCCTGCCCATGTGCCTTTATCTACACAGGCACTGTAGGCATCATAAATGGCTACTAAGAAAGTTGTGCAAGCAAGATCTGCTGACATAAAAAATACAGTTCACAACAGGGCATGGACCAAAGAGGCCCTTTACAGGCCTGGAAACCAAATATAACTGTTCCTTCTATACATCTCATCCCTTCTCCTGACTGAGTCACTCACAGTTGGTGAAGGAAAAGGGAGCAGAGATGTACCAATAATATCACCCCCCTTCCTATGACTTCTTGGTAGCCTATGGAATTTAGAGGTTGATAGTCAAGACCTCAGAGGCCAGTAGGAGCAAAAAGGCTGAGGGGAGAAACACTTCAAGATGGATATCCTTTCTGAACCATTCAGGTATGCCTTCCTTTTGAGCGAGCTCCAGGGAAGCAATATGGAAGGGTTTGGTAAGGGGAGGAAGTTCATCCTGCTCCCCGAGAGAAAAGCTCCCTGGATCCTATCCCTCATTAGGCTAGAGTGTCACTACTCCTCAGGCCACTACCCCGACTCTACAAAATCTTGAAAGGGCTCCATTCCCCTTCCTTCAACATATCCAGGAGGAAAAAAGCATGTCTGCTGACAAAGATACTGGGGAGTCCTTATCGCAGGAGCCAAGACAGGGGAGAAAGCAGAGACATTAGCTCCATCTGGACCATCCCCATGGAGCCTTTCTGTCACTGCTAGGGTTACAGAGGTAAGTACGGATCCTGTGTTTTGGCTCTCAGATAAAAGCAATGATGGGCTGCTAGGCTGGCTCTCCAGGGGAGGTGAAGCCCCGATTGCCAGTTTCAGTGGTGTAAATACTTCCAAGATGGCCAATTTCAAGGATGGATACTTGAGCTGGGGACTGTTCTCTGCTCTGAAGTACAGAAGTAGGGTGCCCACGCCCTGACACCCAGTCCTGGGCCCAGCCCAACAGCCAGCTGCCTGCTCCAGCTACTTCCCCAAACCCACCAGCCATCCCCAGCAAGGGTGTCTCCCTCCCTCCCTCCTTGCAGTTGGCATGGTGACTCAGCTTCCTCTAAATTTAGGAAAAAGGGGTTCAGGGCAGTGTCAGCGGCCCAGACTCCTCTTCTCCTCCCTGAGCTTCCACCACCCTGTCAGCTGAGGAACTGGGCACAAGCCCCAGTCCCCAACCCCAGTCTTTGTTCCCCCATGACTGGACTTTTCCTCTGCAGTAAAATCAACCCACAGGCTTTCCCACCCAGTCTGGCTGCCCCCATGAAATGGTCATAGGCTTAGGCCCACAGGAAGGAAGGGAACCCTTCCCGTCCTTCCCAGCAAAGCCCTGGACAGTCTGCCATTTCTTGCCTTTATCTCCCCAGTAAGCTCCTCCAGTTGCTCCACTCTCGCTCCTCTCTCCAAAAAGATAAGCCCATTCATGTTTTGATAGGAAATGGAGCTTTGTTTCTCAGTGCATGCTTCTCATACAGAGCTGATCCTAAAGCAGGGATTAACAGGACAACTGGACAAGAAAGGGGACCTCGGCCTCCCTGAAACAAAGAAATATCCCAAAAGGACCCACCAGGGTTGAATACTCAGAGCTCTCTCGGGCTTTGTTATGCCTCTGGGAGGGCCCAAGAAGGAATTTGAGTCCATTGAGACCTCCCTCCAGCCTTCTCCATGCCTTCCCCAAGAAACTGAAGTCTGAGTACAGCGAGCACTGCAGGCAGCTGCAGAGAGCAACTCCTCTGTACTTAGAAGATACGCACGCCAATCTCAAAGTCACCGCCTTCAGGAAGCTTTCCCTGATTGTCCTAGGTAGTAAGTCTTGCTTTCCCCAGACTCTGAGGCTTTGGTCTCTACCTCTGTTGTGGCACACCTTGCATTCTGTTAGAATCACCTGTCCCCTCACTAGACAGTAAGCCCCTTGAGAGTAGGAACTGAAAGACATTGATCTTTCCATCCCAATGTCTGCCTTGTAGCCTAACAGACAATAAGTGCAGGAAGGGATGGCCGAGTGTGTGGGCTCCTGCCAGACTCTTCAGGCCAAAGCAGTGTCTGCTGAGTTTTGATGGCTGTGCCTGCGCCTCACCCCAGCAGGACAAACCAAGATCAAAGAGGGAAGATGTGGAGGAAGTAAGGAGGGGAATACCCAGCACTGATGATCCCTGAGGCTCTTACCTGCTACCCGATGGGCCACCAGTCCCTCCAGGTTCAAGGGCTCCTCCTCCAGAGTCCGGGATGGATCTGAAGTCGCTTCCTTTGGTGGCAGCTGAGGCTGAGTGGTGAGGCCAGGGAGAGAGGCCGGGGGTTGCTGAGGCACTGGAGGGTTGGAGGTGGTTGAAAGGAAGGCGGGCAAGGAGGAGGGAGAGGCTGGGCTCTTTGGACGGTAACTCTGGTTGGGCCCAGCTGGACACGGCTGGTAATCATAAGGTGAGTAAGACCTGCCAGGAGGGGCAGACTCTGGCGAGGCTCGCAGGGCCGTCTCGGGGGTTCCCAAGGAATGCCCACTGGGGATGTAGCCAGATCTGGACTGGGTCAGTGGATGGGACTGGTAGGAGGAGCAGGAAAGAGGCTGGGAGGAGAGTGGGGAGGCCCCTGGCCAGGCCCCAGGGACACTCTGGGACTTGTGCAGGGGGGTGGCAGCCGCAGCAGCTGGCTCCAGATCCAGCATCAGCATGTTGAGGGCTTCAATGGACTGCTCGATCTCCTGCTGGGAGGCTGCCCTTGGGAACTCAGGGAGGCCAGGCATGGGGGTCTCTGCCAAAGGCTGGGGGCTGGGCCTGCTGGGCCCAAGACTTTCCAAGTGGGCTCTTTCCTGCTGGCGAGGAGGCGGGCGAGGCTGCTGCTGCTGCTGCTGCTGCTGCTGCTGCTGCTGCCAGGAGTTGAGGCCCCTCTGCACAGCCTCCCGACTGCTTCCCCCCCTGGCCGGAGCTGGGGGCAGCTGGGGCTCAGTTTCCGGAAAGGACTGAGAGCGGAACATACTGCTGGGGTCATGGCCATAGTGGGAGGTGGTCACTGGCTGTGGCCAAGCTGGGTGGGGGCTGTCCCGCTGGTAGCCAGCTAAACCCTCCTGTGCGGAGTAGGAGGGCCGCATAGGGGCCAAGTGGCCGGCATGGGCAGGCACTGCACGGCTGGCAGACTCGTAGGGGTAGCCCCCGCCATTGACCATAGGTTCCATGGGGTAGGGCTTGTCCAGGCCATTGGTCAGTGGGGACAGGGCCTCTGGGTAGCCTCCCTCACTGGTGTTGGTGATCCCATCCAGGGAGGACAGTGTGCCCATGCTGCCCACACTGTGCCCGTCCTGGTTGGGCAGCTCATCGTCCAGAATGTCTGTCTCCCGCTCAGAAGCCAAGGCCCCACCGTTGACATGGACCTGGGCCGGGACCACGTGGCGGACAGAGGAGGGCGCAGCAGGGCCCCCCGCCAGGCGGGACCGGAGATGGTGCGTGTGGTACATGGCGCCCGGCTTCTCTCGCTCTAAGCCGAAGCCACTGAGCAGACGGTCCAGCTCACGCTTCTCCTCGGGGCTCAGGGCAGCAGGGGCACTGGAGGGGCCGGGGGCAGGCTCATCAGTCTTGTCTGTCTTGGTGGACGCGGTGGAGTTGCCCGAGTCGCTGCTCACGGACAGGGTGTGCTCCACGTGGTTGGGGGTGGCCGACAGGGCAGGACGTGTGGCGTTGACGGCCCCGGTGCTGCCGTGCAGGGAGTCCTTCTTCTTCACCTTGGCATACAGGCTCCCGTCCAGGGGCCCCTGAGTATGTCCCACAACCTCTGCAAGAGGAGGAGCAACAGACAGCGGATGTCAGTGGAAGGCGGGGACATCTTCTACCTCCATTTCCTGGACCCTGAAACCTCCTCTCAGCTCCCTGGGATAAAGCTAAGGTGACTTTTAGGACCCCAGGACCCAAGGACCCTACCCTAGGCTTTTGGGCAGAACCCATCCCAACACCAAGCTTCAGGGCCAGGCAGTGGAGCCTAGGATTGGGCAGGGGGTCCTGGGGAGTAAGACGCCCAGTCTAAAACCTGCCTCTGGCATCCTGCTAGCTTCCCATGGACCTGGAAGTTCCGGGCTAAGGTGGTGCTCAGCAAAGCCAGCAGGCCCCGTGTCAAAGGGGATACACATTCACTCTGAATGCTGGGGCCCATGAAGGTTTCTGGAAAGGGACAGGGGTGGGGGAAGCATCTTAGGGGTCAAGAACAAAAAGCAGAGGCTTTCATCAAGGAGAGGTGTCCTGTGTGTCATTTCGTCTACAGGCAGCTCTGGGGGCCCCCGTGAGCAATACTTTCTCTGAAAGGAAAAAGTGAGCGCCGGGTGGCTCAAGGCCAAAGGGCTGACTCAGGAGCGAAGAACTTGCCCCGCCCAAAGGAACTCAGTGATTTCACACCCTGTACAATCAGCAGCCCAGTTCCCAGCCCGGCACTCACACATACACAAACACACACACACGGACAAGCACCCGCAAGCACCTTCCAAGGCAGGCCCCCAGCTGGCAAAAGAAGAGAGCCCCTCCCAAATACTGCACAAACCCCAGTCCAGACACCCACAGTCACCCTCCCACACACACACGCTCACACACACAGAAAACGGGACACAAAGATATCCAGAGACCCACATGCCGACCCTGAATCACCCAAATCAAACACCCAGAATTCACCTGTATCAAACACCACCGGTGTCCCCGGTCAGAACGCATGCTGTGGGTACAAGTGTGCAAATACAAATAATAATAATGATAATGATAACAGTAGCTAATGTGCAGCCAATACCTATTAGGCACCAAACACCTGGCTACATACTTTAGGCATGCTTCGCTTCTAATCCTGTATGTCAGGGAGTGCTGTGCCTCTTTTAAAGATGGAGAAACTGAGATTCTGAGAGGTGAAACGCCATTTATTTGCAGACACATAGTACCTGGTAAAGCTGGGGTTTTAAATCAGAATTCACGTAAGACAACTGAAATAAAACTACATTAAAATCCAAGCTAATTTAAAATCAGAGCTTCAAAGGGCACACATACTTTTTATTACTCTACACTGGCTCTAGTCTCTCTCTCTCTCTCTCTCTCTCTCTCTCTCTCTCTCTCACACACACACACACACACACACACACACACACAACAGAAGGAACACATAAAAGGCAGCGATACCCCAAGATAAATACTTCAATTTAAAGCCACAAACATCTCAGAAAACACAGACTCCCGCTATGCCCAAGGATCAGCCCTCGGGCCAGAAGTGGCAGCCTCTAAAAATAAACACTCACACAGAAACCCACGGCCAAAAACAAGTGATCAGACGACCACAAAACAGGAACATCCTGATGGGCACACACACACACACAGACCACAAGCCAACTAAGTGATGTCACCGAGCGAGCGCGACACAGAGATGCCCGACGGGACACATTGTCCACACCCCCCCCCCCAGGGCTGGATGCTCTGCCCGGTCACTCAGCTCCTCAGAACCGTCTCTCTGCAGAGTTTTCCCTGGAGATCTGGGGCCTCAACCAGCAGCAGAAACCCAGTGACACAGGCCAGAGTGCTGCCGCAGCCCAGGGCTCATGGGGATGGTCCTGGTAAACAGCTCTTAATGTGGCCGCGGTGGATGGCGAGAAGGTGTGGGGGGCAGGGGACACTTATTTCCATCTCTGATGGGAGGGGCAGGGGTGGGTGCCCCACAGGCCAGTTACCTGATGGGGTCTGATGGGAAAGGGGTTTGGGCTGAGACAGGGCTGACTCTCCAACAGCCTGCCCCTTGTGCTGGGGCCCCCAAAGGCTGCTAAGAGGCTGCTGCGGGCGTGGCTGCCTCTGCCAACTCATCTGTCAGCATCCCTAAAGGGACAAGCACTGTCAGATGAGAGAGCCTGCCCCTCATGCAAGTCCCTCCAAAGAGTGCCTTGCTACACAAAAAGAAAGAGACCCTAGCCGGCTGTTTCCAGAGGAGAAAAGTACTAAAGATAAGAGCCTCTCGCCCACTCAGATTTCCAGGGGTGGTTCCCGTGAGGATGCGCCCCTCATGCCAGTTAGTGGAGGTCTGAAGAGCTGACCCTCCTTCTCGCTGTACCTGCAACACTGCTGGCCGTGGAGAAGCAGACCCATTCCCAGGCCCTGGCCCCACTCAGCAAAACATACCAGGAGATGCCAGAGTGTTCCTGCCAGGCCAGGGGCCTCCTGCATGCCCTGCACCCCTAGTCCCCCAAGCCCACGCTCACCTGTTCTGGGAAGTGGGGAGACAACATAGCAAAGCGTGGGGCATTCCATGCCTCCCCATCGGCATGCAGAAGGCCAAGAGAAGCACTGGGTGCACATCTGAGCGCACTCCCTCCTTCCGGGAGAAAGCAGACCCAATCCGGCACTTCGCTCGCTCGGGTGAGTACAAGAAGGGCTTTTGGCAGGAGAGCTAAGCAAGCATTCCCGAGGCCGGGAGGGGGAATCCACTCTGATTCCCATTACCTGATATCCTGGCCCTGCTGGCCAGACCCTGTTCTTCATTGATTTTGAAAATGTCAATATTAAGCTGATTCTGCCATGTAATCTACCCCCAAATGGGCTACTATTTGCAGCCACAACATCAGGAACGCTAAGTGCCACGCCACTAAGTCTTAGCAAGAAAATCGAAGAAGTGTAAATTGTGTAATTAAATCCCGTTTGTTTAATACAAATGGAAAGGTCTATTTCTGTCCTCAAAGAAGGGCCCAGCTGCTCCTGACCGCCCAGTGCTGGCCGAATGCTCCAGGTTGTGCTGTAGCCTTCACTGGCCATCTCCCTTCTCTTATCAGGGGGAGAAACTAAGGACAGGCCGGTCCCAGGTCTGTCCAGCCCCCGTGAGGAGGGCTCTGCTGTGTAACTCCAGCGTGTCAGCAGGACCTGTGGAGCACCTACCCCTGCCCCTCCCATCAGAGATGGAAGTTAAGTGTCCCCTGCCCCCCACACCTTCTCACCATCCTCCACGGCCACATTAAGAGCTATTTACCAGGACCACAAGAAGCCGGAATACAAGGTCGGCTTCGATCTATTAAGGCAGGAAGGACAAGAGAGAGGCAGGCAGAGGGAGGAGAGGGAGAAAGAATAAGGGAGGAAGAGTGGGGGCTTGGAGGGGTGAGGCTTCTAAAGCTGGGGGCTACCAGATCCATCTCCAAGTCCCAGCAGCCTCTAAGGGACGGCCGGTTTGGGGGGGCAGGGGGGGGAAGGACCTCAGATGGCCCATGAAGAATGAAAGTTGTACACCCAGTAGAAGGGGGCAAGGGATAGAGGGAGGAACCTGCCTGGCTGGGGCTGTGCGTACCGGCACGGATGACGACGGACTGGGAGAGCAGGCTGCGGGGGAAGCACAAGTTACACACAGGCCAGGGTGCCGAGCTCCCAGGCCCCGAGCTCCAGCCAGCCTGGACGTCACGTCTCCCGGGCCATCTCCCGGCCCACTCACTTCTCTGGGGAAGTTGGGAAGTCCACAGTCTTTTCAAGGCCCCACTTGAAAAGACTGTGTCCCCCAGTTCCCCGCAGCAGCTGCTTGAGGTCCTGAACTCCACCCTCGCTGCTGAGTCTGACTGCACCAAGGAGCCCTTCTTCCACGGCGGCCGTGGTCCAGATGTGCGAGTCATGCTCTTGGAAAGCGCAGAGGAAAATCCCCAGCTGACTTGGACGTGGACCGGCTCCCCAGGCTCCCTCCAGCAAACTGCGGAGGTGTGTGCGTGGGGCTAGAAGCACAGGGCAGGCCAGAATGCAGGAGAGGAAGGCCGTGTCTGCCCGCACACTTAATAAAGAATGCCAGAAATAAACATGGATACTCAGATGACAGGGATTTAGGAAAGTTGTTCTCTAATTCTTGTGTTCATAAGGACCTCCTCTGGGGATTGTTTAAAAATGAAGATTCTGGGTCCTTACCTCCACAAATTTTCACTCATAGATCTGGGGCGGGGCCAAGAGTCTGCATGCTCAGTAGCGCTCTGGGGTTCTGGTACGCACATGGGTAAGTAATGTTTCTCAAGGTCTTTGAGAAACCCTGACCCGGGGGCCAGCATTTTGAGCTCCGAGGTGAAGGACCCCTGCTTCTCTCACTAATGCCAAGTGGGGAGATTTCATTCACTGAGATGTCGGGACAAACGGCCCAGCCATGGAGAATGAAAGGCTGGTTGACTGACTACAAGAAAGAAGTCTCCTTTGGCGATGACTCGATGAGGAGAGACCCCTCGACATCCAACAGAAGGTCTGTTTTGGACTGTGACTGATTTGTTAAGGTCCTCGGGATGGGACACCTCATGATAAAACGTCCTTTGAGTCTACATCCAGCAGAGTAACGCTTCGCTAGAATGCATTACCCAGAGCAGTGATGACCAACCACTGCGGAGGAAAACCAGTCTTTCCAATAGGAAGAGGCACCGCGCCCACCCCGGACGCAGGTGGTTTGGAGGCAGACAGGGCCCTGGCAGGTGGGGAGGGAATCTAGCTCCTTAAACGTGGGAATGGGGCATTAAAGGCCATGTGTGTCTGGGAGGTAAGTGACCTTTGACAAAGATTGAGGCTTGGCCAAGAGGCAACCAGGAGAGCGAGTTCTGGACATCTTAACCCTTTAGCCACAGACTCTCCCCCAAGCACAGAGGGTGCCCAGCTGGGGCCAGGGCTGGGGCTGATAAGATGCAACCTGGGAGCCAGAAGATGGATCTGAGTGCCAGGGAGGCCACAGGGACGTGCTTCTGGAGAGGAGACAGAAGGGAGGCACCCCCTCCCACCCCACCCCTCAGCCTGACACACCCATCATTCAGGAGGGTGATC